TGTAGTGCATATAAAGTGACAGCTATCTCATCTAAATTATAGCCCCGTTTTTAGTGAAATGAAGACCCTCCAGTGGCTGCCCACAGGGAACCTTGAAGACAGTGCACCTAATTTCCTTGGAGGCGTGGCAGCCCTCTAAGGGTTCCTGGGTCTCTGATCAACCTGCAGTGGCTCTTCAGGGAAACTCCAAGGAAGTAGGAGGCTGAAGCAGGATGCTGAGGGGACAAGAGGAGGGCTTGTGGACAAGAGGGCAGTGGGACAAGGCTGAGAAAGGAGGACTGGCTGCCGAGGGGCTTTGGCAAGAGCACTGAGAGGTTTGAAGACGTTTGCAGAGTTCGGAGCTTTCTTCTCAGGCTCCAGGCAATCTTCAGCAGCTCCCCGTCTCTCACTGGATCTGGTTTTAGGGCTGATATAGAGGTGGACACATGGGAGAACAGAACACCCCCCCCCACCACCACTTCCTCCAGGCCACGTGCATAATGACAACTGTGGGAAAGGTCTTCAAGCTGGAAGCACTTTACACCTGACACAGTGGTGACAAGGGAAGGTTAGACTCTCCAGGGGTTATTGCAACTATTAGTAGGAATAATTTTTATAATAAAACCCTCTCAGTTGGAAATGGGTGTCTGAGCAGTGTGAGAGGACAGGATGGGCCAAAGCACTGGGATGGGAAAGGGCTGGCAGGCAGGGGAGAAGTGGTAGGGCAGGGAGGGGGAGGGAGGAACCCTGAAGGGGGAGGTGTTGGCAGGAGCTCCTTGGTGGAGGGTCTTGGCTGTCAGCAGTGGGGCACATGGTAATGGGAAAGTGACACGGCAAGGTCTGTCTGCTGCAGGTGCTGGGAGGCAGGAAAGCAGTAAGACAGCCAGGGCTCTTGGGAGGACTGAGCTGCTGAGACTTGGACAAGGCAGAGTCCAGGGCTGGGATGTAGCTCAGTGGTAGAGTGCTTGCTTAGCATATGCAGGGCCCTGGGTTTGATACCCAGAACTGCATAAATAAATAAATATAAGTAAATAAAGGCAAGACCTCCATGGTGGACTTGCTGGGACTGGGTGATTGAATGACTGTGGGGATGGGGTCCTACCTCCATTCTGGCCAAACTGAGCATAGTTGGGGAGATCTGGGGAGGTGCCACAGGAATGCTGGGACCCAGAGGAAGGTCATCAAGGCAGAGCCCTACTGCTGATGGGGAAACCACACCTGTCTTGCAGGACAAGGTATGGGAGGCCATGTGAGCTGGTGTCCAGGAAAGCACATAATAAGAGTGAGCGTCACTTACTTGGTATTTAGCAGAAAGTGTAAAGATTTGGAGACTACACACACCCTTTGACACACGTGGGCCAGGCCATTGGATACTGACAGGACACTGAGACCTGCTAATTCTCACTGCTGCCAGCCCAGTCCTTCAATCATCAGGAAGATTCCCCAAGCAAAGCACCTCTGGGGAATAAACCCCCCATCACCGTGTAGCCCTTCTTCCTCCCCAGGCAGGACAGACAAGCCCAGGAAGCCCCTGCTGGGGAGCGAGCAGCCCCCTAGGAGCTGGCTGGCTCTTGGTTCTCTCTAGAACAACTGGCCTGCCCCCTAGTGGACCTCTGTGGTCTCGGACTTGTGGAAACCCTTCCGAGAGGGACCATGCTGCCACTCTGTCTGTCTGTTTTCGGCCTGGTGGGGAGACTGGAGCCTTGAGCAGGAAGGACTTGTACAAGGACGTTCAGGACAACTAGCAGTGTGCCAGCCTAAGAAAGGAGCATGGGCTTGGCGTCCTAGCCCCAGGAGAGCCTAGTAACATGCATGGCCAAGGAGTCTTCTCTCAAAACCTTGGCTCCTCTCCAGTGGGCTGCCAGCTCCAGTTCTCAGGGCTTTGAGAATGGCCTATGGGTGTCCAGTATGTGTGGCCCTGTCCTCCTGCTCGATGTCACTTCACCTCCTCATACCACCATGGTAGGTTCCTCCACCAACCTTTGCTGTTCAGACACTGAGTGCCAGGCTAAAGTCTTTAGGCTTTGCCGAGGAATCCCCTCCAAATTATACACACCTGAAGAACCAGGAACCAAGCAATTCCAGAGGTCCTGCCAGTACCTCTGGAAACCCATGACACCATCTGCCATATGAGATCCCATCCCCTAGAAATGCCAGGATATCCCACTACTGGGCACACACACCAAGGGACAATGATGACCCCAGGCTAGAGGGTAAGAAGGAAAGCCTCAAGGGCACCAGGTGGCACTGACACATCAGGAAAGCCATGACTCAGGGCCCCTACTTGGACATGTGCACAGAAGCCCATGCAGATGATAGGCTGGCTCTGCTCCAGAGCCACCAGGCACATCTGAGTGTCTCCTGGCCTCACCCCCACTCTGCAGAGGAGAAAGCGTTGTGTCCCTGAGATCACCTTCCTGGGGAGCCTTTCGAGGACAATTGCTATCTCACTGTCACCACCTCAGATCCCAGCCTCTATCTTCTCATCTGACCTCAGAGGTGGGCATGCAGGAGAGAAGCTGCAGGCATGCGCAGTCCACAGCATGACTCAGGTAAGTGGGGAAATGAGCAAGGCCGAAGCCTCCTAGCCAGGGCTTGTCACAGGCTCCAGTGGGCACTGCCTGCCTCCCTGACCCCAGCAGATGGTGAAGGTTAGGGAAAAGGACCCTAGTTAAACACAGTGTGTCATCCTGGAGCCAGAGTTTCCCAGCCTCCAGACTTCCAAGTCTAGATAGTAGCCACTGGGAACAGAGCTGCCTTCGCCAGCACTGGGGCAGCTCGGAGGGTAGTGGAGGGTGAGGGTTGCTCCCTGTGCCGCTGTCTGGAGGGCCCAAGTGGAAAGCCCCACAGCTGGAGCCAGGCATACCCTGCCAGACATTGCACATGTATGAGACGTGTGCGCGGACATGTACGGACACACAGTGTGTGCACACAGAGATGCAAGATGTGCACCGCTCCCAACAGTCACTCAGACCCAAGACATATATAGATAAAGCTGTGTGTGTGCAAACATACCGAGGCCCACATACACACAAATGCATACACACAGACCCACAGGACAGGTGCAGCACACACAGATCACAGAAAAGTACACGTGTATACAGAGTTCACACATGTCCACCGGCACAGGCAGGACTCATGGTCACCTGTCTGCTAAGGGGTCTTTTATCCACATAAATGTTCATATAGTTGCACAGGTCAGGTCACACATGCACGTGCACCCTAAGTCATGCCCGTTCCACATTCCTCAGTGTGACTTCACACTGTCCCATTTGATCAAACAGCGGCCCACCACGTGTGTTTCCATTTACCCATACACGTGCTCACGGGTACCTATGGCCGGCACATAGTCACGTACGGGGTGGGGCCTCACTAGATCCCTAAACTAAATGTTCATACCACAGATGAAGAAACTGAGGCACTGAGAGAAAATCCACAAGCCTAAGATGGGCCACACAGATAACCCATGGAGGAATGCACGTCTATCCACACCCCACTGTGACTATACCACACAGTCCACACACGTCTTGGGCACGGGCCATAGGTCCAGGTCCTTCCTACCCAAAGGCCTGCAGGTTGGCAGGGCCAGGTATGGCATTTCCACAGTCCTTGCTTAATTCTCAGGGCAACATAAGAGGAGTGACTGGTCCCATTTGGCACTTGAGGAAACTGAGGCATAAAAACATTAGGCCCAGGGCTGGGCATGGTGGCTCACACCTGTAATCTCAGCTATTTGGCAAGCAGAGACAGGAGAAAAACATTTGGGGCCAGCCCAGGAAGAAAGACCCAAGCTTAACAAGCCAGGCATGGTGGATGTGTGACTGTGATCCCAGTTACAAGGGTGGCACAGGTAGGAGGCTTGTGGTCCAAGGCCAGCCCCAGGCAGAAAGCAAGCCCTTATCTGAAAAATAACTTAAAAAGGGCTGGGGGCATGGTGCAAGTGGTACAGCACCTGAGTTCAAACCCCAGTACCAGGGAGGAAAAAAAAAAAAGACCCAAAGTTGTGCAGGGCCAGGCAGTGGCATCTCCCAAAGCAAGTCCACAAACTCACCCATATCCCTTACCTTCTCCTGCTCTCTCTCTTGCTCTCTCTCTCTCTCTCTCTCTCTCTCTCTCACACACCAGGCTCTGGCCGCAGCAACCCTAGTTCAAAGTTTTAGTGTCAGCTCCCTCCTCCTAAGGGGTCTTTTGAGAAAGGAACTTGTTCAGGGATTAGCCTACTCTCCTGGCCCCAGCCCTCTCCCCTCAACCGGGAAATGAATTCCACGTGTACCTGAAATCCACGGCTCTGAAATCACCCGAGGCGATTTGGTGAGCACTCTTTGATGTGGAAGCTAGTTTAATAAGTTGGTTGTGGGTTTTGTTTTGTTTGTTTTGTTTTCTTCTGTAGGATAGCAGTCTCATTTTCCTGAGAAAATACGTTCTCAGCCTCCTTCCCCATCCTGAGACTCTAAGAACCCAAGGCTGGACTCCCAGCCCAGTGCTCAGCCCGGACACCGAAGGTGTGGGCTGGCTCAGGGAGGATGGGAGGGAAGGAGGCGGACACTGAGCATTCAGGAGGAGAATTTAGAATCTTCTCGATGCCCTTAGACATGATAACACAGAGGCTCCAAGAAGCCATGTGACACCAGTATGTGGCCCTGTTGAGCGTGAGACCTCATCGGCCTGGCTTAGTGCCTCGTCCTACTTCTGCCGGTAGCTGCTGTGTCACTTGGGGCAAACACCTTGGCCTATCTGCTGTGCAGTGGGGACAGGGATTCCCCCATGTGAGGAATCATGAGCACCATGATAATGAACTCTCTGTGACAAAATGATCTGTCCAGAACGAAGTGCTTTTTATTGTTTTCATGTCTAGAGGTGAGATTGCCCCTAGGATTCCTACAAGCACACGCCAGCTAATATTGCTCCTAGAAACTTATGAACGAGCACCCAGCCACCAGGGAGCTCAGCTAGAGTCCTTTGCAGGAAGTGGAGCCCAAGACTCTCGGGCTGCTGTGGACATCGCCTCTCTGCTCCTCTCCTCAAAGCTGGACCTCAGCCTCTCCTGAGCTCCCGGGCCCCGCTGTGGCCTGCCGGGCTTTGGCAAAGGCCACCCTGATTTCTTGGTTTATAAGGTCATGCCATGGATCGCTGAGAAAAAAGAGAAACAAGAATCATAAGCAACCACCCAGAATAGTCATGGGCAGGTAAGCCCCATTCAGAGCCTGCAACCACTCCTTCACTTCTGTGTCCCCTGATCCGTGGTAACTGGGCCCTGGTCATACCAGTGCCTTCCCCACCTTTGAACTTTAGGGACTCAAACAGGTGACATGTCTTCCCTAAGGCCACACAGCAGCTCCCTCATCTGCATGTGAGTCCAGTGGCCTCCCAGGAAATGAGGAATTAGCCCCCACTCTGTCCCTTACTCCACACGTGGCCTTGGAAGGCTGGGAGGTTGTGGCCAAGGAGCTCTGTGACTCTAAGGTGTGGGTGAATCCTCTGTAGGGTCTCTGAACTCCCACCTTGCACACACTTTCATTTTCTCATGTGCTGCCCATGGGTGCCCGGAGCCAGGCAGACCCAGGTTGTTGCCCTGACACAGACAATGAAGCAAGACTCTGAGTGACACCAGGGCCTCACAGAGCACCCCCTCGTTTTTTCTCCATAGTTGAGGACTGAACCCAAGGCCTCACGCATGTTAAACAAGTGCTCTGCCTTTGAGCCTGATTAGCAAGGTTGGCCCCAGATGGGAGAGAAGGGACACTTTGTGGAATGTCTCCCTAGCGTATAACAGGCTCTGCTGTTTGGGTTGCTGGTTATATCAAGACACAGTTGGGGAGGGGCTTTTGTCCGTTTCCCCTATCTCCACATCCTTCCCAAACATCCCCACGTAGAACGTAAATCACCTCTGCTGAGGTGGGGAATACATAAAAAAAGAGAAAAGCATCTTTAGAAAATTTTGCTTTTAAAAAACTGAGGCTGTCAAGATGTCCCAGCACTGACGAATGGATTAAGAAAATGTGGTATCTATACACAATGGAATTTTATGCAGCCATGAAGAAGAACGAAATGTTATCATTCGCTGGTAAATGGATGGAATTGGAGAACATCATTCTGAGTGAGGTTAGCCTGGCTCAAAAGACCAAAAATCGTATGTTCTCCCTCATATGTGGACATTAGATCAAGGGCAAACACAACAAGGGGATTGGACTATGAGCACATGATAAAAGCGAGAGCACACAAGGGAGGGGTGAGGATAGGTAAGACACCTAAAAAACTAGCTAGCATTTGTTGCCCTTAACGCAGAGAAACTAAAGCAGATACCTTAAAGCAACTGAGGCCAATAGGAAAAGGGGACCAGAAACTAGAGAAAAGGTTAGATCAAAAAGAATTAACCTAGAAGGTAACACCCACGCACAGGAAATCAATGTGAGTCAATGCCCTGTATAGCTATCCTTATCTCAACCAGCAAAACCCCTTGTTCCTTCCTATTATTGCTTATACTCTCTCTACAACAAAATTAGAGATAAGGGCAAAATAGTTTCTGCTGGGTATTGAGGGGGGGAGCGGGAGGGGGTGGAGTGGGTGGTAAGGGAGGGGGTGGGGGCAGGGGGGAGAAATGAACCAAGCCTTGTATGCACATATGAATAATAAAAGAAAAATGAAAAAAAAAAAAAAAAAAAAAAAAACTGAGGCTGTAATATTTGATTGAAGTAAAAATTTGCTGACCCCAACTACCTTGTAAGTGCAGCTCTAAGACAAGTTCCCACCCAGTTGGCACTCTAAGGCCCCCCTGCAGAGTTTCCACATTTGTCTGTCTGTGTGTCCATCTGTCTTCTCATCTGTGACAAGCAGGGGCACATATTGTTCCACGATGAGCGCACTCCGTGCCTGTGACAATAACATGTGTGTGCACACTTACTGTATGTTGTGTGCATGTACACACGTTTGCATGTGTGTGTGTGTGTGCGTGTGCATACACCAGGCCCCTCCGAGCTCATGTGCAGCCTCTGAGTACAGATGCTTCCCGCCTGCCCGGGGGTCTGGAGGCTCCCAAGTTGTGTACTACAACTAATCTCTGCTGTCCTCCCTCCCTGAGCCAGAAATGAAAATGTTTCTGGCACTTGCTAAAGTTTCTGTCTGGGAGTGGGAAAGTCATCAGCTGAGAGAGCTCAGGATAACAAATGGCTGCCAGACCTGCAGGTTCCCAGCCCCAGGACAGGGTGGTATGGAGGGGGGGCGGTGGCAGGGAGCTGGGCTTCCCTATAGTGCCAGCATGGACAGAGCTGGACTGGAAACAGGGTAGGAGGGGACTGATATCCAGAGCTTACATTTCCTGGGCGTCAGGAGCTGGTGGGCAGATGTCCAGGTGCATTAACCATCCAGGATCTCATGAAACTTACAAGCCAGGGAATTGACATGTAAACACGTCGACAAGGACAGCACACAGTAACAAGTCTATCACCACCACACTGGGGGATGAGCTGGAGGGTGACAGTAGGGCTCTGTGTAGAGAGTGCAACCAGAGCCCCCTCTGCTGGAGGCAGCATTGAACTGAGACCTATACAACGGGAAAGTTCCTCATCCCAGGTCTGAGGAACAGCAAAAGCAAAGGTCCTGAGGTGGGAAAAATAACAGAGCATTTTAGGGAGCAGCCAGGAGGCCCATGTACAAGTGGCAAGCAGTGGAAGGTGACCAAGACATGGCTATGGGGCAGGACTGGTGGGATTGTACAGGGCCTGAAGCTGCGGGAAAGTCTGGGCATCAGCCCTAGAACCAGAGGCTGGCCCTCGAGGGTTAACAGCAGGGAACTTTCGTGATGATCATGGTTGTGTTTTTTAAAAGATCACTTTGGCTGCCGGGTGGAGAGGGACCAAGGGGCCCCAGAAGATGAGGGAAACTACAAGGAGCCCTGAGATGGGCCAGGTGAGAGGCATGAAGGTGGAGAAGCTGGGGTGACGGGTGGTGGTGACAGAGGTGAGCGTGCAGGGCATGTGTATGCATGTGTGGGCAGGGACCTGGGTGATGCCAGGATGCAGCCTCGTCTGCCTGGAGTTCTGAGAGAGTGACAGGTTAGATGGGGTGAGGGGTTGGTGGAGAGACAGAGGAGTCCAGGACAGTGTCCAGCTTCTGCCTGAAGGTGGCAAGGCCATCAGTGGGAAAAGAACTTGAAGAGGACCAGGTGTCATCAGGGGCAGGCAGACCTTTGGGGTCTGCAGTGCGTGAAGTTCCAGGAGGAATGACCGAGTGCCGTGTGATCTGCAGGAGCCTGAAGCTCAGAGGAGCTTCAACACGGTGGGGTGTTGTCACAGCAGGGAAAGCCCCAGCATGTAGGGTGGGAGAGAAGAGGGAAGGAACTGGAGGCAGCCAAGAAGGACCAGATGGAGAGGAAGGAAGTGGAGGCTGGGCCAGAGCTTCCAGGAAGAGAGAGTGGCAGCAGGGAAGCACTTCAAGGTCGTCAATGATAAACTAAAACTGCCTACAACCCATCAAGTGACACAGATGGAGGTCACGGGAGGGGTGGAAGTTAGACTGCGGGGGCTGGAGGCGTGGGAGGGGAGGAAGTGAGGTCAGCGTCAGCAGACAGCGGTCTTCGGAGAAGTAGGCTCTGCAGGAGCAAGAGCAGCAGTGGGCGCTGGTGGGGAAGTGAGGCAGAGGGCCTGCTCCTTAGGACGCAGTGAGAAGAGGCCTTGACGTAAAGCAAGGTGGGGTAGGGCTAGGCCCTCTACTGGGCATGGGTGGCCCAAAGCTGCTGTGCGACACAGATGGGAGCTGGACTGCAATGGAAGGGCCACAGGGCTGGGGAAGGCGGACCTGCCTGAGGTCACGTCATCAGTCAGACCCAGGGCAGGGCTCGTCCACTGGTCCCAGATCTGAGCCCTGTCTTCACACCACACAGCTGGCCCCAGCAGAGGGGAAGCCTGGCTGTGTAGAGGAAATGACTCTCATGATGGCTTTCCAACAGTAGCCCTGTCCACATCAGTCCTGATGCCTGGATGCTCAACCTGGGCTACTTTGGCCCTGATCTTTTCCCAGGAAACTCATGTGTGGCCCACCCATTAACTGTCTTTGAGAAGGAAGGAACAGCGTTGGGTGGAGGCAGGAGGTGTCCTGGAAGAGCTGGGAGAACCCAGTCAGAAGTTCTGATGGAGGGAAACTTCTGGGCAGGGAGACAAGCTTGGGCTCTGGACTGAGCTCTGCTGTGGTCATGATGGGGCCCTGGGAAGGTCCTGCACATCCCTGGCCGGCAATGCATGATAGAATGAACCCATTGGCCTCTGTTATCCTGGGGACCTCCTTGGCCATCTGGCCCTCTGTCCCTCTGTCCCTTGTTGACTGCTTACTGATTGGTGGGAAGAAGTGATGAACAGCACCTTGGAGTAAAACATTGTTCCCATGTGACCCTCAGTGACAGACATGGGATCCTAGAGGATCAAAGCCACACAGCAAGACAGGTACTACTCTTGAGAATTTACTCCGTGTGGTCCTTAAAATGTGGGTGCCTGGGCTGGGCACTGAGGGCTCACACTTGTAATCCTAGCTACTTAGGAGGCTGCGATTGGGAGGATTGTGGTTCAAGGTCAGCTTGGGCAGGGAGTTTGAGAGATCCCATCTCAACAAATAGCTGACTACTGTCGGACGAAAGTTAAGGAGAATGAGATCAGAAGGAGCACGATTCCCAGCAAACCTGGGCAAAAAAAAGTTTTCTTCAACCCCATCACAACAGAAAAGAGCTGGCATAGTGGCTCATGCCTGTCATCCCAGCTACTGTGGGAAGTGTAAAATAGGAAGGATGCAGTTCAGGCCAGCCTGGGGAAAAGCAAGACCCTGTCTCAAAAATAACCAGAGCAAAAAGGGCTAGAGATGTGGTTCAAGTGGTAGAGCACCTGCTTGGCAAACACAAAGACCTGAGTTCAAACCCAGTACAGAAAAAAAAAAAAAAAGTGGTGCCCTTTTGATCTAAAAATCCCATGTCTGTGGAAACTGTCTCAACAGTGACAGACACAGTCAAACTTGTCAGATCATCACCTGTGGTGAGCTGAGAATGGAAAGACCCCCACACTCAGCAGTTAAGAGAAAGGCTGGGTACACTCTGTGTGTCCCTGCATGCAATTCTGACCGGTATGTTTCTGCAGCATGCTTCTGGAGAATAAGGGGAGGCTCCCAGGATGAGGAGCTGAGCACAGGTCAGAGTTCTGCAGGCTACAAACAGGCTCACAGTGGCTGTCACCCCATGGTGAAAGGATGGTGGCTACTAAATACTATAAATACTGGCATTCTGGATTCTCCAAGTCTTCCACACTAGGCAGATAATACTTTTACAATCAGAAAAGTGACAAATAGCAAACTTAAAAACAGAAGAGTCCCAGGCTCTGGGGAAACCCCCTCACTCACCCAGGTGTGATGTGCAGGGGTGTGGGGAGGGGTCTGTGGAAGCCTGCCTTCCCCACCAGCCAGTAGGTCTCCTCCACACCCTTCCCCTGCAAGAGAGATGAAGGCAAGTGTTGCAAGGTCCCCCATACCCACCCAAACCTTCCCATGTAAGATGTGATGCCACACCGCGTGGTCCTGTTTCCAACAGCTCAGTGAGGAGCAGCCTGGAGCCTCTAGACAGGCTGGCCCCAATCCTGGCTCTGCCACTCATTAGCTTGTGAGATTGACCAACTCACTTCACCCTCTGTGCCTTTATTTTTTCTGTATCTTATAGAATCATGGTGGGGATTGAATGAGTTAGTATTTATCTGTTAAAGAAATAGAGGGCCAGGCATGGTGGTACATGCCTGCAATCCCGGCTACTCGGGAGGCAGAGACAGGAGGATCTCAATCCAAGGCAAACTAAAACCAAAAGGACTGAGGTTGCAGCTCAAGTGGAAGAGCAATGACCTAGTTAGCACAAGGCCCTGAGTCCAATCCCCAGTACTGCAAAGAAGAAAAAAAGAAGAAAAACGAAAGAAAGGAGGGGAGGGAGGCGGGAGGAAGGGAGAGAGGGAGGGAGGGAGGGAGGGAGAAAAAGAGAGAGAAGGAATCAGTCTATGGCAGCAGAGCTGCAGGCCTGGATCACCAAGACCCAAGGAGTCTGCAGGTCTATGGCTTTCTCCACGGTGGCTGAGCAGCTGCGGGAGGTCAGGAGCGAGGGAGTGAGCGCTGCGGGGGGGGGGTTAGGAACGCGAGGGAGTGAGCGCTGCAGACGCCTGCGCCTACTCCCCCAAACCGGACAGCCTGCCTATCTCACCCCAGCTCATGCTCCCGTAACCCCAACCTCCAGATCACAGACTCCCTTGGGTGCCGGCCCTCGAAGGCTGTGTGACTATGCACAAGAGCCGCCTCTCTCTGAGCTGCTCTGATGTTCCGAGGAGCTTCCAGTTTCCAGGGTCCAGTCACAGCCTTAGGCGTTTAAGCTGGGCTGCTCCTGTCCCCCTCCAGGCCTGACTTGAGGGGAGAAATCAGGGAGAAGAGGAGGAGGTGGGGTAGGAAGCAAAGTCACTCAGAAGAAGAGCATACCATTGCCTTTAACCAACCTTAACATGAAGAAAAGAATACAGAGGCTAGAGACCTCTCTTGGCAAGCATCACACCGTCTAGTGGAGGGCTGGTCATGGAGTGGAGGGGGTCAGAGAAGGCATGGCAGTCATGTGTGAGGAAAAGGAGGAGGAGGGCTGTTCCTGGAGCACGCCAGGCCTTGGTGATTGGTGATGTCTGAATATGGGTTCTGAGGGATGAGTAGGAGTCCAAAAGTGGAGAAGGCACAGTCTTTGCAGCCATCAGGTGTAGGTGGGGAGCTGTGTGACTGTGACAAATCACTTTGTCTCTAAGTGAATTTGCTCCACTATCAAATGCAGGTACTGGTACTGCAGTATCACTCTAATGACAGGGGGCGTTACTTCAGTGCTCCCAGTGAGAAACACTTCCTCAGAATTGGAGGAGCACAGAGGCTATGAGGAGGTCATCACCTATGTCCCCAGCTCTGCCAAGCCACATGGCCAGATGAGAAGTGTTCCTGCTATACACAGACACTGAACTCTGGGGACCAGGAAATTCTCTCACCTTCAGTTCAGTCTGACCTCTGACCTCAACTCTGTAGCCTTCATCCAAGCTGAGCAGTGCTTGGACAGTACTTCGGCTGACGTGAATTCTATACGCTGAGAAGAAAGGGAGTCAAGTCACCACCTGGTGGCAGTGTACCTAGTATTTGGTTAAAATCTCTGAGGGTCTACAATGGCCTCTGTTCCAACCAGTCACACACACAATTAGGATGTATGCAACAACCTACTGTCCCTCTAGACAGCTGGTCAATAGAAGACTCCAAGGAAAAACAAATTGCATAGATTCAGCATCAAAGGGAAGTCAAGGCAAAGTCAGAATTTCTAGGAACATAATTTTTATTTTCAGGGAAGTCTATGAAGGCTGAGTCAGAGAAGACAAGCAGTTTTTCTCTTTCTTTTAAGAGCAAGACTCCCCTGTAGGGCTACCACGTCCAGTTACACAGTATGTGCACTGAGCAACATGAGGGGTTTTACGACTTACACAGCCAGAGCAGAGGGCCAAAGACATCAGCCTTTCCAGATGCTCTAAGCAATCCTACAGAGCAGCCCCTCCCTCTCCCACAAGGCACTGAAGTGTTGGGGGTGCCTACCCCATGGTGTCTAACCTGGAAAGGGTCTTCTCTTTGTAAAATGGGGAAACCGAGGCCTTCAGGAAGAGCCTTTTGCTCAGGGCACTAAGCAGGCTGTGACAGGGAGCCAGTTTCCTGCCTCCTGATCACAGTTTTCTCTGCTAATTCCCTCAGATTACAAAAACCCCTCTAGTGTAGGCTGCCACCAGGTGGTGATCTGGTGACTAAGCACTGTTTGGCTTATTGACAAAGAGAGTCCCCTGGGCAGGACAGAAGAAGGAGCTACTCACGCAGCCCTGTGGACTCCATCGGGAGGCAGTGTTGACAGTGTCCCCAAAGAGGCAGTACCGAGGCATGGTAAGACCCACAACACCTGCCACACAGGGCCCTGAAATCAAAATGTGCCTGGTGAGCTCCAGCAGGTCCTGAACCAGACAGAGGTCCCAGTGTCAACCCCCCCCCACCTGCCATCATTCCCTCCTGCGCCCCTGGGCCACAGCTGGAGTGAGGATAAGGCTGCCTGGAGCTCCCAACACCACCCAGAGAGGAGTCAACTCATGTGCTTGGCTCTGAGCTGGGGTGAAGGGACCCAGATGTATCAGAGCCTGTCCCTGCATTGGCGGGGGGGGGGAGTGGAGCTCCCAGGCCTTGGGGAAGACATGTAGTGGTCAGTGCTGGGATGAGGGAAGCCCTGTGACAACCCAGAAAAGGATCCCAACACAGCCCAGGGACTTCTTGGAGGAGGCAACACCTGAGCTATGTCTTGAAGGATGAGAGAATGGGAACAAGCAGGGGAACAGCAGGTGCAAAGGCACAGAGGTCCGTGGGAAATGCATCTGAGTATGGATGGAGGACTGGGGAAGTGGTGGGAAGGGAGGGTGGGCAGGTTATCAAGGGTCTTGGGGGATGATGGGGCTCAGCCAGTGTGGACTTGATCCTGCAGGAAGAGCCATGAAGCAGGGAGGGGTGGGGGCAGGGGAGAGGCAACTTAAGAACCTGCAGTCTCTCCCCAACCATGTCAGCACACATTTAACTGCTTGCGTGAGCACGGGAGACCTGTGCCACCTCCTCCATCAGACTACCTGGTCCTCTACAGGAATAGATGCCCTTAATCTGAGATGGCTTTAATGCTGAGAGCAGAAAGTCCCCAGGACAAAAAAGACATAACGTGAGCATATCCGACCCTTAAGATAACAGAAGGGAAAAGAAACAAAGTTTTTGTAGGATCTCAGAGTCCAAAAGCAGCCCCTGGGAGGACTAGGGTCTGATGTAGCTCTCCCAAGGTTCCCAAGTGCCCCCTGAGGTCCCCAGATGTACCTGAGTGCAGGCCAGCTCTGATGCGAATGGGCACATCAGGTGCGTGCCTCATCCGGAAGTCACCCGCAGAGCTGAGGATATCCAGGGCCAAGTTGGCAACCTCAGCTGCGTGTCGGCTACCATTGCGCAGAGGCAGCCCTGAGGCCACCATGTAGGCATCACCAATGGTCTCCACCTGCAAGCCGCAGCCTTTCAGCACGTTCTCAGGAGAACAGGTCTCCTGCCTGTCCCACACCCAGCCACGCCAAGCCACCTCGGGCTCCAGCTCCACGCTGGTGTCCCCAACCCACAGTGTCATCTCTGCCAAGGTCCCGCTCCAGGAGCCTCAGCACTGATGGGAGCTGTGCATTGCAGGTGGCCTCTGTCTGATTGCAGGTGACCAGGCCTTTTGTGTACCCAACCCAGGCCACGAGCTCCTGGGCAGCAGTTGGAACGCCATCTGCGTGGGGCTACAGCAGTGCATGGGGACCTCATCTGAGGAGCACACAGGGACAGGACACTTCCTATGTTCCAAACTCTGTTGGCTTCCAAAGTGACTGGGAAGAAAGTAGCTTCTGGAACCAGAGGCAGGCTCCACCCCGGCTCTGCCCATTTGCCTGGGCAAAGCGCCTCACCTGTGTAGCCCCAGCTCCCCGCCCCATGGCGTGCGTGAGAGAGGACAGTGTGAAAGAGTCGGGAGATGCTGACGACATGCTCAGCGACTAGCCCTCTGACTGGAAAGGACACTAACAGTCACCCACTGCGTCTCCTCCAGCTCCACACTCTGTCTTGACTGGGGCTTTATGGGAAAGGGTGCTGCCTCAAGGACCTGAGGTCACATGCTGTTCCCACTCCTCTCTGCCACCAGAGTCCTCTGTTTCTTAGGACCCCCAAGCCAGACAGTCTGCCCGGTTCACCCCACCTTGACTCCCACAGCCCCAGCCTCCAGAGCACAGGCTCCCCATACACACACCCTCACAGAGATGATGCATGCAAAGATACCTGATGCATGACGGCCCAGCTGCAAGTGAACCATGGCTCTGTGTACACACATGCATCTCCTTTCACAGATGAGAAGACACAGCCAGGGAAGCAAGGGCTTAACACACATGGATTCCCCATTAACACACATGGATGTGCAGTCTAACTCCACCACTGACTTGCTGTGTGACCTTGACTGAGTCACTTACCCTCTCTGAGCCTGTGTCCTCATCAGGGATAATAATCCATCCCATGGAAGTCATTAAAAGGGTTAAATGAAATATGCTGTGAAAAATCCTCATCTCCTTCTGGAGATGCTGAGGGCCTGCGGTGCCTCTCCCTCCTGCACTTCATGGGGAGGCCTCAGCCTGCAGCAGGTGCTCCCGTTATGTGATGACTGTGTGAACAACAGTATGATCCCTCAAATTTTTTCATCTGTAGGACAACCCTAAACCATCAGCACTTTCATCCTTGGCTCGCAAAGCAGGAGATTCAGGCTTAGAGAAGCAGCAGGCCCAGGGCTGTGTGGTGGCATGGTTGGCGCAGGCCTCACACCCCAGGCTGAGCGACCTGCTGAGTCCTCTCCCCCATCACCTGCTATACCTTTTGTGTCACCCCTGAGCTCCTGGGGCTCTGCCCCCTAGGGCTGCTGTCTGTAGAAGTGCTCACTCAGCAATGTCAGCCCAGTAGGGATCCCAGGCCCCCACAAAATCAGGAAATGTTGCCTAGGCACCGCCCAACCCAGACTGGATTAAAGAGCGGTAACCAGAGCCCTCTGCGGATGGAGGAGAAACCAAGGTGGAGGGCGTGAGTGATGAGGCCGGGCCTCCTGTTCCCCACATCTGGAGGGATGTGCGGGCTTTGTTTTACTTCATTTCCCTCCACAGAAAGATGCAGGCCTCTTGGCCAGAGTTCAGAGCAGAGCAGAACGCATGATTCAGAGCTGGGACGCATGTGTGAGAGAGGGTTAGCAGAGGAGGCAGAGACCAGCCAAGGGTGACTCAGGGCAGATCAAAGCGAGGTGGATAAGGAATCTCCTCTGCTTGGGTTGTGAGGCTAGGGTGGCTATGGAGGTGGTGAGGGGAGAAGTCAATCTGCAAGATGACGCTTAGAACCAGGGGCCAGGTGGGGTGTGGGGCCCTGAGCGGGGAGCAGGACAGAGGCTGCAGCCTTGGGTGTCCTTTGCTCAGGTTTCTGGAGTGCTATCTGCAGTGGACAGAGCATTGCCTCTGGACAATACAGCTTCCTGTCCTGACTCTGCTGCCTCCCAGCTGTGTGACCTCAGGCAGGCTACTTCTCTCTCTGGGTCTTAGTGTCCTCAGCCTGCTGGCATATGTTTCCTGAACACTCACTATGTGTTGAATACTGCCTGGTGCTGAGGACAGAGTGACTCAGTGCTGTCCAGGGGTTGTTCTAAGAGCATCTAGAAGGAGCACCTAACCATGTGTGGGAGGCGAGCAAACGAAGCTAGCCCAGAGAAGAGGTGGGAAGGAAGGAGAGAGAATGACATACGCAAAGGCCTGGTGGTGCCAGAACTCAGGATCTAGAGATCTGAGAAGCCAGAGTGTCTGGAAAGACACTTGGGGACGATGTGGGGCCAGTTCCCAAAGGGCTTGTAGGCCACTATGAACCTGTGGCTTTATCCTAAGGATGTCTGTGTCAGAAGGATGGCGAGCCTCCCTGAACAGAGGCCTGGAACCAATATGCAAGTAAAAAATCTCAGCTTCACGTTCCACTGAAAATCTGTTATCACAAGCCATATAACCCGTCACCTCATTTTCCCCATCCGTAAATTAGGAGTCCTAATTAGTACCTAGCTCATGAGTTGCTGTGCTGATTGAATGGGCTAGTATGAATAAAGCACTTACTACCAGTACCCAGTGTGCAGTAAGCACTCAGCAAGTGCTATAGTGATAGCTGACAGTGGGTGCTGAGTAACGTAATCAGTGGGCTGCCCAGCACCTCAGCTAGTTCTGTTCTCTGGCACTTCCTTCCCCAGGGTGCTTCCCAGCCTGACTTCTGCCCTCAGGACTCCTCCCAACCTCCACCTCCCTGGAGGGTGGCAATGAGAAGGGCAGGCTTCTGGGTCACAAATGGGGACTAAGGTCAACAGAGCCTGAGCGGGGCTGTTTCCTGGGACCTCTTCCCCACCTGTTTCACCATGTCTGCAGTACCAGTTTCTGGATCAGGATGTGGAGAAGGGTTGAGGTGAGAATCCCTACAGCAAGGTAGAACTGAAGGAGAGAGGGCCAGAGGTGGCACTCTTGCCACATCAGTTGACAGACACTTCTACACCAGGGAGAGGGACCCCCTGTCACCTGTGAACCTGCAGGACCACAGTTGTTACTCTGATCCACAGACAAGGAAACAGGCTCAGAGAGGGGAAGACATTTGGCCAAAGCCACACAGGAACCAGTGGCCAGGCTGGAACTCAAGCCCAGATCACAAGGGGTCTTGATCTACCAAAGCCTCTGCTACCTCTCCCACCTCCACACCCAGGTCACGTCCCGCCATGGGGACCCCCTCAAGCCTCAGGCCCTGGCACATTGTCCTCTACTGCCTGCCAGAGCAACCATGCCCAGGCTAGACAGCACTGGGAAGACAGCACCTCATCACACATCTACCCTTGGCTGTCAGGGGCGCTCTCAGCCTCCTCGGCCTCCCCTGATTGTCACTGTCACTAGGGATTGTCATCATCTTTTACCTACAGGATAGAGAGCTCCCTGAGGGTGGGACTGGACCTGGATCATTGTCTCAATGCCCTGCCCGTCACCGGGCCAGGCACAGAAGGACTGACTGTCAAGGAGTAGATGATGAACAATGGGCAAGTGAACACCATGACCAAATAAACACAAAATGGCCACACTGTCCACCCCCTCTGAATCCACAACCATCGCAGTGTTGTAGCTTCTCCCATCAAGAGGCAGGGCTTCTTCCCCTACCCCTTGAACCTGTGCGGGTCTTCTTTGACCAATTAGGTATGTCAGAAACAGCAAAGTGCCTGATCCCTGTTAAAGCTCCAGCTAGTGTGTCTCTCCCCTCTCCTCAGATCCTGGCCATGCCACGTAAACAACCCAAGACTAGCCTGCTGGGGGGTGAGTGACTGTGTGAACCAAATTCTCCCAGTCAAGGTTCCAGAGATGTGGAGAGCCCAGCAAAGATCAGCAGAGTTGCCCACTTCTCTCACAGCTGACCACAGAAATATGAGCAGTCCAGAGCTTCCTTCCAAAATGCCTATCATTTTACACCGCTGGACTTTGGGATTATTTGTTACAGTTCAATAGCTAACTGATACAAACACATAAACAGGTAAATGGAGGTAAATTTGCAACACACAGTACTAAAGAGATAGCTAGAGTGCCAGCCTCCTGCTCTCCTTACCTTGTACACGTCATGGCCGCCCAGAACAGCATCAAACAGTGTGTACAGGTCGTTGAGCAAGCCCACGACCTCGATGGGCTCACTCAGGGCCGAGATGGTGGTGAAACCCACAATGTCACTGAAGTATATCGTAACCTGGTCAAAGTACTCTGGTTCCACAGCAGCCCCCATTTTCAGAGCTTCAGCCACAGACCTGAAGAGATGGAAAGGGCGCGTCACAGGGGGAAGACCCCCTTTTAGTTTGGAGGTTAGGGAGGAAGTCCCACATTGATATGAAGGAATCTGGGGCAAGTCCAGCTGCTCTGGAGCAAACACTGTCCTTCCCTGGACCTGACATCACCAGAAGTGCTCCCTCCTTGCAGAAACTCGACTCTGTGCACCCAGCACAGTGCCTAGCACAGGTGAGGGGCTAAATGAACAGCAATGAATGGGTTGCATGAAGGCCGGATTCTCTGAGCAGCCTCTGTGGTCCAGGGCTCACACTGGGAGCCAAAGCTGGAGGCCCCTCCCGTCCTGGGCCACTCACAGAGGCAGCATCTGTGTGAGCAGCCTCTCCGTCTTCTGCCTCTCCAGCTCCAGCTCCTCCGTCCGCTCCCGGACCAGGTCCTCTAGGCTCTGGGAATACTTCTCCAGCATCCACAGCATGGAGTCAGCCACACTGATCTTCTTGCCTTGGTTGAGGCTTTTGAACTGGAGAAGAACAAAGTCTTAATATTTGCCCATGAAAGTCAACTTGGGATTCTGGGGCTACAGCAAGGAGCACGGCAGAGGGCATTAGGACCAAAGCAAAGTAAAGATTAAAAAATAAAGTTAATCCAGGAGTGAGGTTTGCATACAAAATGCATGCTAGGAATTGGTCACTATTTTGGATAGAAGCTACCTAGCAAAAAAACAGAGAGGGGAAAAACAGATTGTGCAATCCACTGAGTCCTCAAGATGATGGTGTGTTAATTGCTCAAAAAGATGCACAGCTCCTGCCAGTGCCGAGCAGAGAGAAGTTCCTCTCTTGGTCTTCATGTGAGGACACTATGTGTGGACGCAAACTGCACCTTCAGTGACAGCTCTTCTGGAAATGAGGCAAGGTTTCCTAGGGAGACTGACTAGAACCTTCCCTTGTATGGTTTACACCTTCCCAAAGTACAGTCATAGAAACAGATCAGTGATGGTCAGAGTGAAGGGGTCCATTCTGCTCTACTGGAGTGTGTGTGTGTGTGTGTGTATTCAACCTCCATTAATAGCAATTTTTTCAGTCAAATGTCTGCAAGGGGGAGAGTGGTAGCAGCCATTGAAGTGCACCTATTTCGTGTGCCCATTAAAAGCAGAGACACAAGCTATAAAAGTTAAGCTGTAAAAGTCAGCAAGACACTGCTGACCTTGAGATATCAAGGACCTAAAGCTGACTACAAGGACACTTCTGCATCAGAGGGTCACTGTTTTATAAATGAAGAAACAAAAGATCTGAGAGGAGAAATAACCTGTCAGCTCACAGTAGTGGAACTAAATTTCGAACTGAAGTCTTTATATACTAATTTCATCATCAACCACCCCACAGATTATTTTATCATTTGGAATGGTTTTTCCATTGTTCCTCTTAGATTGCCTAGGAATGTAATCATAAGATCTGCCAATAACTATCATTTTCTTCTACCTTTCCAATATTCATTTTCTTGTCAAGTTGCACTGGCTAGGACTGCTAGAACAATGTGAAGTGCACATAAACCCAGGTCTTTGACTTCAAAGGTCAGTGTTCTTCCTCCTGTACCTCACTCACTCTATCCTCAGAGAACTACTTTTTTTTTTTTTTTTTAACATTAGTTATCTCACTTGATGGCCACACCTAGCCAGAGAGTTAGGCTGAGGTAAGCTCTCTTTCTGGGCAAAATATAAGGAAGCTGAGGTTCAGCAGAGCAATTAACTTACTTAAATGAGCGTACGTAAGTGGTGGCACAGACGTGATCCCGGCATTCTGACTCTTAACCTTCCCTACAGTCCCCACTTACATCATGCTGAACAAAGTCTGTGCCCGTCTCAGTCTTTTTTGCCATGGGCCTCAGGAAAAGGTCTTTCCCACAGTCACCCCTCTCTCAGGGCCAGAGCTTCCTCCCCTGGCCCACTGGCCAAGGCCATCTCTGACCCCTAGAAAGATCCTAGCCTGATGTTTCAGGAACTGATAATTCATTCTAGCTTGGCTCCCCGCTTCAAGCTTTTACTCTGTGGTCCAGATCCCCATCTGTGAAATGCAGTACCATCCCTAACACTGAAGCACAAGTCAGGCGGGGCCGTGGGAAGCTTCCCAATGACCCCCATGAGCCGCCCCCTGTCTGCCATGCAGCCTCCGCTCCCTCCTCGCTGTCTGGGTGCCTCTCTCACTCACTGAAACTCACCTTGGCAACTTGCCACTGTGGTTGGGGAGTGGAGGGCTGGAAGGTGAGACAAAGATGTCGCCCAGGCTTGATGGGCTGGCCCTGAGGGAGCATCAGTCTGCTCAGTCAGGCCCACACACTCCATCACCGCCACAGGACTCGTGCAGACTTGTCTCTTCCCTCTCTGCAGTCCCAAGACACCTGGGGGACCCCAGGGCCCCTCTCATCTTCCCCTCCCTGACTCAGGAAGCAGCTCTGTCTCCATAGCCACTAACAATCTTGCTCAGGTGCCAAGGGGCTCAGATCATGGTGAGGCTCTCTGAGCAGCTTTGTAGACAGACAGACAGACAGACCAGAGCTGGCTCCAGTCCCAAGTTCCCTCACCTCTCTGAGCCAAGACAATGGTATGAGCTTCAGGGGGCTGCCACCAGGATGGAATGACAGAAGAGAGGCACTTTTCCAGGGCTGCACACTCAGGAATGCTGGCAAATGTCCCCTGGAGCTGAGAATTGTCTCCACAGAAGGCAGGCCCGAGGGAGGTGCTGCTGGCCTGTGTCCCTGACTGCGTGGCTTTTCCAGGCCCCAGGCACAGGGTAGGTGGACACCAGGCCAAGTAGGGCCCATGGATGGGCTCTTCCGAGGAGCACTAACCTGGATGTAGATCTGGTCCAGGCTCGGTCTGTCATCTGGAGCCTCCTGCCAGCACTGCTTCATCAGCTGGATGCACTCGGGCGGCCCGTGGTCAGGGGACACCAGCGGCCGGCACAGGGGAGGGGGAGACATCACCTTCTGAATGATCTCTGCAACAAACCCAGTGGGGGCTGTAGGGGCCCCTGCAGGGCTCATGGGAGGGGCTGCCTTTTTGCCATTGAAAGGGAGTCTGCATCCACAGGCATGCTGGGGACCATGGCCCCAGGCCAGGCCACACTCTGGCCCCTAATGGCTCTGGTGCACTGTCCGCAGCCCATGAACCTCCGCACTTGAACAGCCGTGCTGAGGACTGCTGGATGAGGCTGTTCATTCAGCCCCTGGGGGCCTGGTGGGCTCTGGGAGGATGTGCCAGGGTGGCTCCAAGGGATTTTAGGTTAAGGACATGAAGCTTGGATGAGGGGACTTCAGCCCAACTCTTATTTCCTCACCCTGCTGGGAAGTCCCTGCCCCTCTCTGAGCTTTAGTAACTCATCTCTGAAAGGGCTGTGGAGTGGAACACTGCATATGAATGTGTCTGGGAGATGGCAAAGCACCCTCAAAAATGTCATAGAAGAGAGCCTGAGATCCCCATTCAGCTCACCCCTAAAGCCACCCAGGTGGATAGCTATTGAGCAATGGAGGCCCTTTGCCAGGCCCTTCATTTAAAGCACAAAGCTGTGTACTGAAAGGCAGGTGATACAGATGAGGAAACTGAGACTTGGAGCTAAAAAGCCTTTACTCAAAGTCCTGGCACTGAGACCAGTGTGAGTGACTATCCAGTATCCAGAAGGACAGGGACAGAGAGAGAGTTTTGTAGAAGTCCCACCTGGGCGTCCTGGCAACATCAGTCTGGAGCCTGGTGTCTGGCACTTTTATTGGATGTCCATTTTAAAGATGAGAAAACTGAGGCTTGGAGGGGTGAGTGATTTGTGTTAGGTCACATAGCAAGTAAATGACACAGGGCTGAGGTCTATATAGACATGGGTCTTGAAGGGGCAATGTGGCTAGGGAATGAGCACCTGCAGACATGGTGTGACATTGGAACAGGAAGGAAGCAACTGGGATTTTTACCCAGAAGCCAAAGTCTTTAGCTCCTAGAGCTGGTCAGCTGCCATTTTGGCAGAATTACTGAGGGCCGCCTGGCTTAAGGCAGGGAAGCCTAATTTCCAGGGTCAGATTTTAGGCATGTGTGCTGGTGTGTAGTTATTTTCAGACCCAGATTTCCTGATGATCACAGAGTTCCCCAACTACTGAGAGACTCCAGCCAGGGACAGATCACGGAGGGGGATGAGGACGTCATACCTTCCGCTGAGAGCCCTGAGGAGCAGTAGGGTGGGCCTCGAGTCAGCACCTCCTGTAGGATGATGCCGATGCTGAACACGTCCCCTCTGAGGGTTCCTGGCCCGGGTCCCCCACGTCCCCGCAGCAGCTCAGGAGCCGTCCACAGCAGCTCTGCAATCACAGGGCAGGACCACACCACCATCACCCACTCCCACCACGCTGGAGGGCCAGGGTGTACCTGTTCTGCTGGATTCACAGGTGAGGAGCCTGAGCTGCTTCCAGGTAGAAACACCATGGACTCAAGTTCCCAGCACAGAAAGTGTGGAGGACTGCGATCTGCCCCTGGACGCCTGCCTCACAAGCACCAGCCTTAACTCATTCATTCATTCATTCATTATCGTGGTATTGTGGTACTGGGGGTGGCTTGTGACATTTACAAAAGTGCTTACAATAATCTTATTGAATCTACTCCCTCCACTGTTCTCCTTTATCTCCCCGTCCCCATTCTTAGAATAGGCCTCTTTTTTTTATTATATTCATATGTGCATACAATGTTTGGGTCATTTCTCCCCCCTTCCCCTCTACATTCATTCTTGTATAGAAAGTACATCATTTTTCATTACTGCCCTTCATTGTTTAGCAATGCTGGTTGAAACAGAGGTCTCGAAACCTACTGGCAGCCCCCAACCACTCCGAGCTGACCTTCTGGAGCTGGCCGGGGTTGGGGTGATCGCTGAGCCTCCAGGAGCTCCCCATAACCATAGTCAGTGAGCTTGAGCACAAAGCGTCCATCCACCACACAGTTCCGAGACTTGAGGCGGCCATGGGGAAAATGTTGATGGTGCAGATATCGCATGCCCTGGGGTGGACATAATGGGAGAGGGGTTTCATGAGGTCTGGGATAATAAATGAGAGGGAGCTCTGAATCCCCACAGGTCCCAGAAGGCCTTCCCGCCTCACCTCCTCTTTAGCCATCTGCTCAGATCTCACAGTTGGACAAAATGGGAAGAACCCGGTGTGAGAAACCTGAGCACCTCTTGCCTCCCTACCCTCCCCATCAGCCCTCAACTCCAGGGGAGGCTCCTCACACGGATCAAATCCAGCAGCAGGGAGGCCTTGAAGGTCCAGTCCAGCTGCACGGCCTCGTTCTGCAGCAGATCCTCCAGGCTGCCCCGGGTGCAGTACTCCAGCACCAGAGCACTGACCCCAGGGGCCACAAAAAAGCCCAGGCAGGCGGCGATGTTCTCATGCCTCAACTCCCGCATCTGCCAGAGCAACAAGCACCTTAGCAGCCCTCAGGGGCCCTTCCAAGGTTGGCCCAGCTACGGTCTACATTTAAGCCTCCAGGACTTCGCACCCAGTATAGAGATGAGCATGCAGAAGCATCAGAAATGGGTGAATGGTAGATGGGTAGTAGGTATGTGGCTGGCTGCTTGACTCAATGGATGGATAGATGGATGGATGGATGGATGGATGGATGGATAGACAGGGGGATGACTGGGTAGATGGATGTATGGATGGATGGATAGATGGTCAGAGGGATGACTGGAACATGAATGGGTAGGGGCTGCCTGGATGGATGGATGGATAGATAGGGGGATGACTGGGTAGAAGGATGGATGGACGGTGGGTGGATGGATAGATAGATGGGTGGATAGGTGAGTTGATGGATAGCTGGGCAGGGGGAGGAACGAGAAGATGGATGGATGGGTAGTGGGTGGATAGATAGATGGCTGAATTGGTAGATATGTGATAGATGGAGGATGAATGGAAGATGGATGGATGGGAGATAGATGGATTGATGACAGAAAGGTAACAGATAGCTGTACGGGGGATAAGTGCGAAGATGGATGGATGGATGAGTGAGTGAACAGTGAATAGAGGAAGGGGTGAATAGTGAAGGAGCTGTAGCTATCTCCACAGATTGAGATCCAGGCCTATTTCTCAACCTTAGTGACACCATTGATCTGAAATCTATACATTCTCTCCCTTGAGACTAAGGGATTGAGGAGGGAGGAAAAGGAACAGAAGGGACTTGGCATTACCAGAAAATAGCCTCCCCAATGATTGACCAGCAAGTTAGAAAGCTAGAACTCTACCAGAGCCACTAGCATTTATCAAATGCCAGAGCCCTGTCTGGCATGACCCTCCTTGCAAAGACAGCTCAGGGCCAATGAAGTGGGGAGACCTGTTTAGCCCCCATTAAGGGACTCACAGCACATTAGCATATGTAAAGATTTAAGAATAGCTCCCAAGTCCTTTGACACTCCTGACACCAAGAGGTGAACTCTGTCCCCTCTCCTTGAGTGTGAGGGGGCTCTGTGACTATTGTGACCATCTGAATGCAGTGGAAGTGGTCTTGTACATTTCTGTGTTCAGGGCTTAGGAAACTGGCAGCTTCCATTTCCTTACTCTTGAAGAGCTCTCTGTTGGGGTTCTGAACCACCAGGGACGATGTCATTTGAGACTGGGTGGGGAGGTACATGCCTGTAATCCCAGCTACTCAGGAGGCAGATGTAAGGAAGAGTTCAGTCTAAGGCCTGCACAGGCAAAGTTTGTTATCTGAAAAACAAACTAAAACCAAAAGGACAGGGAGTGGGCCCCAACTGTAGAGCACCTGCCTAGCAAGCACAAGGCCTTAAGTTCAATCCCCAGTAGCTCCAAAAGAAAAAGCAATTCTTCTACTCTGAGTCACCACACTGGAGAGGGCCTGACCACAGAAAGGGAGAAGTCTGGTCCATCTGAGCTCAGGCTTCCAATTGCCCTGCCGGTGCACCAAGCATGTGAGTGAAACCATGTTAGGCCCTCTGAACCGAGAATCAGCAACGTCTGTAAAGATCAGGTTGTAAATATTTTAGGCTTTGTACATCTCTGTCACAACTTTTCACCTTGGCCATTAGAGCATGAAAGTGGCCATAGACAGAACAGAAAGAAAAGAGCATGGCTGTGTTCCAATAAAACTTTAGTTATAAACTCAGGCAGTGGGCCTGATTAGGTCTGTGGATCATACTTTGCTAACCTCTGAGAACCCATTTACCAGCTAAATACTATGGAATGCTCCCCAACCAATGCAAAGCAGAAAAGAATTGGCCAGCTGAGCCCTGCCAAGATTTCTTAATCACAAAACTGTAAGATACAAAATGGTCATTATTTTAAGCCATTGCATTTTATTACACAGTAAGACAACCAGAACAGCATAATAAAGATTCCAAGAAGTTCTATGGTTAACCCAAACAATTTCCAAACTTGTGTAACCATAAAGGACCTTTTATTTATTTATTTTGTATTTTTGGCAGTACTAAGGTTTAAACTCAGGGCCTTGCACAGCTAGGCAGTTGCTCTACCACCTGAGCCATACCCCAGCCCTTTTTGCTTCGGTTATTTTTCAGATAGGGTCTTGCCGTTTTTGCCTGGGCCAGCCTGGACTGCCACCCTATTAGCACCTCCCAGGTGGCTGAGATGACAGGTGTGAACCACTGTGCTCAACTCTTTTGTCTTAAGAAATAGCTACTCACATGGGTTTCCACTCACATTGCCCACTGGAAAATACCTGTCTTTACCTCCAGTTACTGAGTCTCTGCAGACTTTATTTCAGATAATGGTGATATTAGAAATGATAATAAAAGTAAGAAAAATAGTAAACTAATAAAATTCACCACTTGTTGAAGGTATACACGTGCCAGGGGTAGTTATAGACTATTTCTATGTTCCCTGCAGTTCTCACAGCTGCCCCAGGCTGCACATCCCTGGCTCTACTTTCCAGTGAATCCAGTTGTTCTGTGGACTCCATCTGGCATCTGCCCATGCTCTGTGCTCCCTCCCTTGTGCCTCTCAGATGGTGACAATCTCAGGTGAAGGTATGTGTGTGCTTAGTGGTGACAAATGCTTGGGAAAGAACCTCTCTTCTCCAAAACCCAGAATGCTGCCTGGCACATATGCTATGCTCAGTGAATAACAGGTGCATGGCCGGGCAGATGGAGGGACAGTGAAGGCTGAGGTCCTTTGGATGCCATGTGTTGGCACTTCCAGGCCCAGGATCATACATGGCTTTAGGGAGTCTGGTATGCAATGGTGACAGTGATGTCAACTGTGACTGAGGTGCTGGTGATGGGCAGTGACCATGAGACAGCAATGACTTCCTCTCTGAAATTAGAGCTCCCATATTGAGCAGGGACCAATCCAGACGTAGAAGGGTCCCCCTGAGCAGCCCCCTTCCCAATTCCTTCTATGTCATCACACCTCTACCTTTCTCAGGAGGCTGAGGCAGCCTGGGCGCAGTTCAGGGGTCATGCCTGCTTCACACTTCTTCAACCATACCCAGTCTCCCTGTTTAAGAAAGAGCAAAAGTTTGTCTCGTTTGCTACTGTTCCCCAGCTGTGTGAACTTGGGGAAATCCCTCTATGTCTCTGGGCCTCAGCTTCTTTCCCTTGAGTGTGCTCCTTATGTGTGTTCTGAGCCTGGCATAACTGAACAGCCCAAATGGTGGAGACCAAGGCAGAGGCCAACCAACCCAAGTTCAAGTCCTAGCTCCACCACCCTTTTGCCCCGTGACCTGGATGGTAGCTTCTGATCTCTGAGCCTCAAGTTCAAAATCTGTAAAAAGAAAGACAACACCCACCATATCTCAAGGGCTGATGAGATGGTGGACATGATGCAAGGTAGTCCCGGCCTGGAGGTCAGCTTTGCCTTGCAGGCCTCAGGCACCCATAACACTCCAAATCCCACGAATGGGGAGGATTTATGAACTAGGGACTCCAGGAGAGGAGCAAAGTGAGGGACAGGAGCAGGCTGGGAGCTAACTGTAGACTCAGCCCTCTCTTCCCTGTGTCCCCAGTGGTTTGCAGACTCCGCCTCACCTGCAGCCTCCTGACTAACCCAGAAAAGCAAACCAAACATGTTTTGACCTCATTAAAGCCTCCCTTCAGCAAGAAAGGCAAAAGATGGAATTCTCCAGGGACAAGGCATCAAGAGTCTCGTGTTGCTTCCTGTAGAAACAATTACACCCTCTGGAGTCACAGAACGGGAGGACTGTAGCATGAAGGAATTGTTGAACTTGAGACTTACAAATCACTGTGGCCTCAGCAACCTTAGAGTCTTGCTGGTCTGATCTATGACTTTGCAGCCTCCCCATCAGCAGGAGGAGAGCAGTGCTTGAGCAGACAGGAGGGTGATCCAGACCCAAGTGGCAGGAGCTGGGTGCTTACCGAGGTCAGACCATGAGCCATGCTCAGTGGGAGCTGGGAGCCCTGCTTCCCACATCTAGCCCTGCTACTGTCTTCCCCAGGAACCCAGGAAAGCTACTACCCCTACTCAAGCCAATTTCCCACTCAGTGACAGGAAATGGACTAGCTCCCCTGGCCTATCTCAGGGCGGCAGAGGCCCTCACCTGGTACAGGGCAACCTTGGTGGGCTCTTTCGGGGCTGGTAGGCTCCTTGCTGACTCTTGGGCCACTGACCTCAGGCTCCCACCATCCGCCACACTTCTCGATTCACTTCCACTGTCCACATGCAGCCTCTGGGGACAGGCATGGTCAAAAGCCTAGACATGGCCTTTGCCCACTGCTGGCCTACCCAGCCCAGACCTGTTCACCCACCCGTCTGCTTGGGGGCTGTTGGAGGAAGGTGAGCTCTTGGGCTGTCAACAGGATCTGGTGGGGACCCCATATCAGCCGCAGCTGCTGGATGCCCAACCTGAAGGCAAGAGAAATCAGGGTCAGCGGGGGGGTGCTATGAAGATCATTCCAGCCCTCAGAGCTGCCTCTGTCTTCCACGGTCCCAGCTTGGCAGGACAGGCACCAAGGACTTTCTCCCATGGAGCCCCTTGGCTTTGGTTTCAGTTCTGTACCCCTCCAGGCTTGAAGTGCCTGCCGACTCGGTGTTCCCAAGGTCCTGGATACCTATAAGGCAGAGTCCAGGCTGAGGGTGGGGGTACAAGGATATTCCATTCTAGATTTGGCCCAGGCTCAGAGAGCATCTGGATTCAGGAGCACAGAGGAATTTGGACCCCAGGGATAATTGTTCTCGAAGCTGAAGGGTCCATAGGAATGGTCCTGCCACCTTCTTACTATACAGATGGGGAGCCTGACACTTAGAGGACAGAGACTTAGCTGCATCACAGACTTCTGCCTCAGGTCTCACCCGGACCTTCTCAGGAGGCAGCTGGGGCCTGTACACATCCTGACCAGCTTTAAGAATGGTGGAGAGATAGTGGGGTAGTGTGGTCCTAGAAGGCAGAGCCTGGGAAAGCCCCTGCAGATTGCCCAAGGAGGCCCTGTGGGTGGGAGCACAGAGTGCCAGAGCCAGGCTCAATAGACGGTCTCACCTGAAGAAGTAAACAAGGACCCCACCAGCCAGCACCATGACACAGGACAGCACCAGAGCGAGGAGGCTGCCCAGGGGCTGTGCTCCTACAAGGACAGATAGGGAGTCATGACAACAGGAACAGCTCCCTCCACTGCATTCCTGCCCTCCTTCCCTTAGCTCCTCTCCTGGGAAACAGGGACCCAAACCTCTGCCCAGCCTCCATCCCACAGGTGAGGCTCAGAGTAGCCTCTGACTGTGACAGTCCTGCCTGGGAACATCATCCCACAAAGATGGAGGAAGAGATACACACACACACTATTCTTACGCTGGGATCCCTGCTTCGGGGCCCATGGAGCCTGCTCAGACCCTGTTATAGACCTGTCACATTACAGAGAAAAGTGGCTTTCTCTGCCCACATGTCAGGTCCCTTCCCACCAAACAGAGAGCTGCCAGACAGCAGGGCTGTGTCTTCTTTCAGTGTTCCTGGCACCTGACACAGGCTCAGACAAGGCAGGGGCTGGATTAAAAAGCATCTCTACACATGATAAAAGCGAGAGCACACAAGGAAGGGGTGAGGATAGGTAAGACACCTAAAAAACTAGCTAGCATTTGTTGCCCTTAACGCAGAGAAACTAAAGCAGATACCTTAAAGCAACTGAGGCCAATAGGAAAAGGGGAACAGGAACTAGAGAAAAGGTTAGATCAAAAAGAATTAGAAGGTAACACCCACACACAGGAAATTAATGTGAGTCAATGCCCTGTATAGCTATCTTTATCTCAACCAGCAAAACCCCTTGTTCCTTCCTATTATTGCTTATACTCTCTCTACAACAAAATTAGAGATAAGGGCAAAATAGTTTCTGCTGGGTATTGGGGGGGGAGAGGGAGGGGGCGGAGTGGGTGGTAAGGGAGGGGGTGGGGGCAGGGGGGAGAAATGAACCAAGCCTTGTATGCACATATGAATAATAAAAGAAAAATGAAAAAAAAAGATAAAAGTAAATTACAAAAAAAAAATAAAAAAATAAAAATAAAATAAAAAGCATCTCTACCCATTGCTATCCTCTCGCCTTTTGCACGCACTGTGCAAAAGGCCACCTGCTTTGGCAGCCACCTACACGGAGGGAAGGTGTGGCATGCTACAAGAGCCCTCCTCTAGCTCCTCTGGCTGTGTCAGGAGCCAGGTGTAGGAGACTTTTAGGCCTCTGAGAGGTGTAATGACTACTTTGCACTGACAACGCCCATGTCAGCACAGGCTGATAAGTTAGCCAAATTGCTGGAGAGAGGATATTGGCCTCTGCTCCACAGCAGGGTTACCATCCTTGCCTCCCTTTTGTCACAGGATGAGCACTGTTCTGCCTGCCCTCTCCAGAGGACCCCTAATCGGAGTTGAGTCCAGACAATGATGGCACTTAGTTTTACTAAGTTAGTGCTTCGTTTTACTGTTGCACCCTGCATCAGGCTAAAAGTCATTCTAAGTCAGTCATTCCTCACAGTCACTTCTAGAATTCTATGGTTGTGGTCATGGTTTTGTAGATGAGGAAACAGAGAGGTTAGGTAGCTAGGAGAGGCAGAGCCCAAGTTCAAACCCTGGCAGTTGGCTCTGGCATCTGGACCCCTAGTCACTTTGAGGCTGCTCCGCACCCAGGCTCCTAAGAAGGAAGATTTGAGTGGAGATGTGGAGAGGGCAAAGGAACAAGCCACTGAGTGTGTGATGGGAAGGGATGCCAGGCACAGGGAGCAGCATGTACAGCAGTTCTGAAGCAGGTGCACGCTGGGTATGTTCCAGGAACAAGAGGCCAGGATGGCAGTGCAGAGCAAGTGGAAGAAGTGAGGGCAAGGCACAGGCATCAGGAAGTCCACAGTGAGGACTCTGATTTTCTTCTGCATGGCTTAGCCACTGTCTTTCTGTGTGACCTTGGATAAGTCAACAAACCTTCCTGAGGTTCTGTGGAGCCCATGGGGAATAATGGCCTTGTCACAAGTCTGTGGTGCATTTAAGGAAACCTGAGAAACTGGAACACCTCTGAAAATGCTTGAGCTCTGCCCCTTTGAGGGAGGCCTTGCTGGTCTCTTCTGGAACTTCATAACGGTTGGCTCCATTTTCTTAATGAAGGGCCAGGTCCATTCTTCAAACCTGCTCCTGCTACCCACATAAGACTGCCCATAAGGAGAACTTCAATAAAGGTTGGATGGATGGATGGATGGGTGGGTGGATGTGTGAATGGATGGATAAGTGGCTGGTGGGGGGATGAGGAGATGGATGGATGGATGTAAAGACAGATGGATGGGTGGACAGGTGGATGATGAGTTACCTGTCATGCATAGCGTAGTGGGGTCAAACCAGCAGCTGGAGTCACAGGCCGGAGGGGCCCCTCCTGGGAAGTGCATGGTCTTGCCCAAGGGCTGCACTTGCCATGTGTCTGTGTCCAGAATGTGGGTTGGGACCAGATGGTTTCCTTGACCATCTGTGTCCAGGATGACATACCGGGCTAGCCTTCTGCCTTTCTTGTCTGTTCGGATCCTCTGGTCAAAGCCAGCCACATCAAGAGCCCCTATGTGGTTCCCTAAGTGAGCCCCTGGGGGCCCTGTTCCATGGTTCTCAGAGTGGTTCAGGGCATGGGCCAGCAGTACAACAGCATCATAGATGGTTCCAAAGAGTGGAGACACCTGTGGAAGAGAAAGTCCCTCAACCCCATAACCCCTGGCACAGGATCCCAGATACTTCTCGGACCCAGTCCTCCTGCCAGTAGCACTGGTTTGGATTATCACTCTCTCTCCCAACACAGTCCTCTCTTGGGTCCCAAATTATCCCAATCCCCACTCAGCAGCCTCACAGTCTTGGTGGCTACCACCATTGTGGCTGCCACCGACTCTGATGTCTCACAGACACTTCAAGCCTCTTAAAACAAAACTCCTGGTTCTAGCAGTTTCTTCCTCATTGCTCTTCATCCAGACCCTCATCTGGCTGGTTCTTGATCACTCAGAGCTTGTCTAAGTGCCCCCTGAAGGCTGCCCCTTGGCCTGTCTCTTGTTGCCTACTACTCTATCCCAGCCTCTCACTATTGTTTGATCCTCTTCACTTTCCCAGTGGCATTGCCACTATCTGAATTTGGTAGGCAATTTTTGTTATCTTGTTACTTGGTTGTTGCCTGTCTCCCCTTAACAGAATGAGACTCCTTGAAGGTGAAGTCTGTCTTGTTCATCACAGGATCCCTGGCACTGGGCACAAGACACACAAGAGACTCAATCCACATTTTTGAGATGAATAATGGAATGACTCTGTCAGCATCTGTACCCTTGTTACCACCTCCAGTCACTGCTGTCCTATTACAACCAAGAAGCAGATGTCCCAGGGATATGAGTTCAGCTGAGTCCTGTAATCAACACCAAGCCAGCAGCCGCCACCTCACCCCTACAGCTATTGCTGTTCAGATTCATAGCAGTGACTTCAGAAAATCTCCCTCCCAACACGCTCCCAGCACTTTCTCCTTCTGATCACCAGAGAGATGCTAGCTAGGAGAGGAAGATGGCACAGCAGAAAGAGCAGCAGGACCAGAAATGAGAACAGGAACTGGGAATGCTACAAGTAAGAACTGACCAACCAGGTAGAAAAGTGAGGGAAGAGAGAGAGAGAGAGAGAGAGAGAGAGAGAGAGAGGAGAATGCACAGGCTAGACAGGCAGACACAGTCACGTACCCACAGTGATGGGGCACGCTGGCAAGGGGGCAGTGGGGTGCTAGCCAAGGCAGGGAGGGCTTGCAACAGGTAAGATGCACGCCTGCCCAGGGCCCACCATCCAGGACATATAGACGCTGACACCTACCTGGGCTGGCTCCAGGTGGGCAGCCACCTCTGCACCCATCCTGGCAGCAGTGAAGGTCTGGTTTTCAGGGCCCGACTCCAGGCTGATGGTGAGCACCACATCGTAAGCCTCCTGCAGTGGCCCACTGTCATCCAAGGCTGGGTAGGAGTGGTTGCGGTAGGGCAGGGTGAAGAGCAGCGTGTCGTAGGGCAGGAAGACTAGCCTCCCATCTGCCAGGCCCTGGGCCCAAGCGAGGCTCAGCAGGGCAGTCTGCTCTGAGCCTCCCAGCAGTGCCGAGTGCATGCATAGAACCACAACTGGGGACAGATACAGCCCAGTCACCTTTGCAGGCCCAATCCCACTGTGACCTTCCCTGAAGCCAGAATCCTGTGACTCTAAGAACTGCTTGGAACTCTGCAGCCACCCAGCATGGGTAGCCCCCAGCAAAAGCAAATTTACCCTGACTCTGCTTCCCCTGACAATTATTTCCAAAGCCACCAAATCTGGGCTCAACCTGGCGAAAAACTCCCCCCACCCTAGCCAAGGATCAGCTTGAATAAATAGGCTCTTCTAGACTTCACCTCCCCACACACTCACCCAATAACTTCATCCAACTTCCTGCCTACGACAATTCTAATAGTTATTGACAGTTCTCTACGAGAACCCTTGTATTTAGTCATCCTTGTATTTAGCACTAAGAAATGTGCTTATCATTACCTCTACTTTTCAGGTAAGGAAACTGAGGCACAGGAAGGTTGGGGATCTGCCCTAGGACACATAACCACCCATCTGGTAGAGCCAGGACTTTGACCCGGGACCTACTCCCAGTTTATAATCCTTAAAAATATTTTTTTAAATTAAGATGACTCCAATACCATAAATCCACCCTTCTCAAAGTGTGCAATTCAGTGGTTTTGGTATATTCACAAGGTCGTAGAGCCTCACCACTATTTAATTAGAGAGCGTGCTCATTACCCCTCTCACAGTCACACTCACTGTCCCTGCTCCCTCCTAATCTGCCTCTGTGGATCAATCTATTCTGGACATTTCATCTACAGGTGGCTCTTTGTATCTGGCTTTTTTTTTTTTTTTTGATGGTACTGGGATTTGAACTCAGGGCCTCATGCTTGCTAGGCAGGCGCTCTTCCACTTGAGCCACACTCTCAGCCCTTTTTGCTTCAGTTATTTTTTAGTTAGGGTCTAGCCACCCTTTTTTGTCCTGGCCAGCCTGCATCACAATTCTCCTACTTATGCCTCCTTCATAGCTGGGATGAAGGCATGCACCACTACACCCAGCTTGTTTTGTTGAGATGGGCTCCATCTAAGATCCTCCTGATCTCTCCCTCCCAAGTATCTGGGATTACAAGTGTGAGCAAAATGCTTGGCTTGTGTCTGGTTCTTTTACTTAAAGTTTCTTTGTTATGACATGTGTCAGTTCTTCATTCCTTTGATGGTTGCAGAATTTTCCACCCTATCACTGACCATATTTTGTTTATTCATTCATCAGCAGCTTGTAAACTTCACTGTGGCCCTGGGTGGTAGCCTCAAGGCCTAAGAAGACAGAAAGAGCCAGGTGCCATAGCTCAAGCCTGTAATCTTAGCTACTCAGGAGGCAGAGATGAGGAGGGTTTTGGTTCGAAGCCAGCCCTGAGCAAATAGTTTGCAAGACCCTATCTGGAAAATACCCAACACGAAAAAGAGCTGGCTGAGTGTCTCAGCCATAGAGCGCCTGCCAAGCGAGCGTAAGGCCTCTGAATCCAAACCCCAGTACCACCACCACCTCCAAAAAAAACGATCAGGGGACTCTTTGCTGGGACAAAGAACCCACTTTATATGGAGGTCAGTCAGAAGCTAGAACCTCAGCCTCAGCCTTGACTAAAAGCCCCCTGGGTGGCAGTGCTGTATGGCCCAGTGGTGCCAGACCAACCCCTCCAAGCCCTAAGTAGTGGGGAGAGTCTGCGGAGAGACCCAGTAGGACAGCATGGAAAGAGAGCCACAGCTGTGTCCCATCTGCTCTCCTGGGCTTCTCTTCCAAATACTCCTTTCATTTTAAGAGTCAGAAACACTGTTCTGTGTCTGGCCACAAGGGACAGCTGATCCACACACTTGGGGAAGAAGCCACTAGACAGAAAAGTCCACATCCATTGTAAACTGTGCTCGGTGTGCAGAATCCCATTATCTGCAGCCGTCTGTCTCATCTTCACTACTTTATGAAGTAGGGGCTTTTTTTTTTCTCTTTTTTTTGGTGGTACTGGGGTTTGAACTCAGGGCCTCATGCTTGCAAGGCAAACACTCTACCACTTTAGTCACTCCACCAGCCCTTTTCTGTGTTGAATATTTTCTAGATAGGGTCTCTATTTGCCCAGACTGGCTTTGAACCACGATCCCCCCTGCTCTCTGCCTCCTGAGTAGCTAGGATTGCAGGTGTGAGCCACCGGTGCCCAAGAGAAGTAGGATTCTGAAACTGATGACAAAACTACAGCACAGAGAGGTCATACACCTGGTGGGCTGTGGGAATTCCCACAACCCAACTCCAGAAAATGTGTCCCTTCCCACTCTGCCTCCTGACTCCTAAATTAATTCCAGCACCACGGAACTCACATGGTTCCCCTTCTAGTGCCACCCTACTCTAGGCACAAACACCTGAACTGTTGCCCATTCCTCTAGTCCTATGAACACGTTACTTCCACTTCTGGGCGCTAGCTGGTCTCTGCCCCTACTTCCTTTCCCTCTCATCTCTGTTTTGCACTCACCTTCTCATTGTCAGATGCCACCTCCTCCATGAAGCCCTCCCCACCCCCAAGCAGGTCAGCAATCTGACAGCCTCTGTCTCCTCACCAACTCGAGCTTCTCAGCTGAGGTCTAACCTATTCCTATCATAGTCCCAGAGTCCCAGTGGGTCAGGATACATTTTATCTTGATGCACTCGACAAACTGAGTATATAAAAGTTGAGTCTATGAAAGGAAGTTCCACGGCTACCTTGCTACCTGCAGTGTCTGCTCATGTAGTAGCATGTGGTTCATTTTATTCCATTCTATTTTATTTCACTCTACTAGATTCTATTTTTTTCTATTCCTACCTTTCCTTTATAATGATATTCATGATTCACTAAACTGATTTCCTGACCCAGGGGGACTGCAATCCATAGTTTGAAAGTGCCCCAGTCTAGATCCTAGGATCCCTCTACTGTCCCCTACCTCACCTGCCATACCTTGCCCTGGCTGGATACTTCCTTAAGAACTGGCCAGTGTCACCTCCTCCAAGGAGCCTCCTTGGAGGCTCCCGCTCCTCTGGCTCCACAGACTTCTGTTCCTTAGGGTGGCCTTGACCCCTCTGTCACACCTTCTGCTTACACCTCTCTCCCCATCATACAGTCATGCCCTGGACATCAGCCACCACCTCTGTCTTGTTCACTGCTGTGATCCAGCACCACACATGGCAGGAGCTTGGTAAACGCGGGAAGTGACTGATGAATTAGCGATCCATGGAGGCCATGATTGTACCCACTGAACTACGATGGGCTCTGACTCCCTTCCTGGGATCAGGCACTGCCACTTTTCATGTCTTTCATTTTACCAAGCAACTACCAAGAATGCCCTGTCGCCTACCCCACAACTGGCATTGACCCTGAGTTTTGAATCCAGCTGCAGAGCCTGCCAGGTACATGACGTGGGCAGGTTACTTATTTTCTTTGAACTGCTGAGACTTCACCAGGACTATCTCACAGAACTGTTCAAAGTCATTGCCAAGTGCTCAGCCCAGTGTGCAATGCAGAGGGAGCTCCCATCAGTACCCGTACAATGTCCAGGCTGCCCACAGGAGAGAGAAGCTCAAATATACTTACCTTTCAGGCCATTCACACTTCGCAGCTGCTTTAAGGCCTCTGTGGCCCCCTGTTCTCCAGGTCCCACAGAGGTCACAAGCCCTACAGGCAGCCCATGTGTCCTGAGAGTCACGGCCAGCTGCTGGGCTGTGGCCACCCAGATGTCCTGGTGGGAGGACACAATGGCCAAGTGAGCCCAGCCAAAGTATCTCATGACAGACAGCAGCACATGGGCAGCGGAAGGCAGGGTGGGCGCCAGCTCACCCCCTCCCTCTAGAGCTTCACAAGCCCAGGAGAAGAGGGTCTTCCCCCAGCCTTGGGCCAGCAGGGCTGCTGCTGGGCAGTAACCAGGATTGACAGGGCCCACAAAAGCAGCCACGGCGTTCTCGTGGGCCAGGAATGTGGCCAGGGCGTGAGAAGTGTTGCAGCCTGTGGGAAGGACCACGGGAGCCAGCCACAAGCCCGGCAATAGAGAGGAGTCCTGGTTGACTCGGTCCACAGCCAGCTGGGCAGCCACGCTGGGAAGAGCCTGGGCAAAGATGGGGTCACAGTCCCAGGGACCCAGCACCCCCAGGGTGAAGGTCTCTGCCCCCCAGGCCAGCTGAGGGAGGCAGCCAACCCCCAGGAGAACGCCCCAAAACACCACAGAGGGGAATGGCAGGGAAGGGGTTGTCCTTGGATGACTGAGCGCAGACCCCCATGGGCCCTGGCACGGCAGACGGGTCTTCCTGTGTGGCAGCATCCGGTCCGGACCTTCAGGGCACAAGACCTCCTGCAGCCCTGGGGAAAGGGGGTATGGACAACTTTGTTTTCCAGAATTTTCTGTCAACAATTCCTGTGTGATTGTGATGCAGACATCTGCTCCCAGAACCTCAGTCTCCTCTTTGGTAAAATGAGGACTTGGATCGGAGATCTTCAAGGACTCCCCCACCTAACTTTGGGGGCCTCGCTTCCTCCCCAGGACTCTCTTGGCCTCATGATGCCCACGCAGAGTCCCAGACTGGAGCTCAAGCAGTCATCGTGCTTACCGTTGTGCAGCCCTTCGCCAATCACTGAAGCTTCCTGAGCCTTCTCCCCCTCTGTAAAACATGGACGTGAGGCTACTGGACAGCACTGTTGTGGAGCGCCCTCTTGTGGAGCACTTAGCACAGTCCTGGTACTAGGCATTCAGGAAGTCCTACCTCTTTGAACCTGCGACTGTCATTTCCTCCTGCACTTGCCTCTAAGGTGGACCACGCACTCCTGGTCCCTCTGATCCTCCCCTGCCTCTAGACTGCAGTCCCCACAGGCCGAAGCTCCTCGCCGGGGGTGCTTGTGAGAGTTGTGGCTAATGGGTTTACACTACATGTGCACCCAAAACCAAAGACAAAGAGGCTTTTCATCCCTGCTGCTCAGAGGATGAAGCCAAGGCAAACTGACACGGAGAGAGTAGCAAAGTGGGATTTGTCGGGAAGCAGAAATCAGGAGGATCGTGGTTCGAGGCCAGCCAACGCAGAAAGTTAGTGAGACTCCATCTCAACCAACAAGCCAGGTATGATGATAGGGTCCTGTGATCCCAGCTACTTGGGAGGCATAGAAAGGAGGATTGCAGTCTGAGGCTGGCCCTTGCAAAGACATGAAACTCTAAAAATAACTAAAGCAAAAAGGGCTGGGGGTTTTGCTCAAGTGGTAGAGCGCCTGCCTGGCAAGCACAAGGCCCTGAGTTTGAACCCTAGTACCACCAAAAAGAAAAAAGATGAAATCTGACCTAAGTCTGTTCAGCTCATCCCCTACCATTCCTTCTCCAGCAGGACACCTAGACCGCCACATTCCCACTTCCTCCTCTCGTCCCAGGGCCTGATGACCAAGGCCCTGTGGCTCTTGTTTGGCCTGTGCCTAATAACTGCTGCACCCCTTCCCCACCCACAGGACTTGGCTGTCTTTTTCCCCTACCCTTACACAGCCAGTCATCTAACCACTGTGGAGGCCCCAGGAGGAAATAAGATCCAATCTCGCCCACAGGAAACCTGCAGGTGGACAGGTCCCAGCAGAGAGAAGAGTTATGGGCAGAAGGACCAGTAGGGAGACCTGTGGCTGAGGAGGTGATCATGGAGGGCTTCCCAGAGGAGGCAGAGCTTGTGCCAATCCTATATTTGGAAGCCTAGCTCAGAAGAGTGAGAGGATGTGCCTGAATGCCAGCAGCAAGAGAAGTGTCTGGGTAGAGTGCCTCTTAGCAATATTGTTCAGTGCAGAGAAGATAAATAGAAGAATAAGCCCTGATTTTTTTCACTCACAAGCCCTATCCTTAGGCAAGAATCTGCGGTTCTGTGAGCCTCACTTTCCCTACCTGCAAAATGGAAATGAGAAGAGCTGCCTGGTGGAGCTATCAAAGTTCCTACAGTGAGATTAAGTAAGTAGGCTTTTACCATCTTTAGATCAGTGAGGGGAGGCAGGTGCACTGTAGTGTAGAGAGCTGGATGGGAAGGTGGGAGGCCTGAGTCTCAGCTCCACATGAGGACTCAGCATCATCTGTGAAAGTCACCAGCTTGCAAGGCTGGCGGGGCCTCTGCCCTGCTGGCCCTCAATGCCATGGTCCTCCCAGCTAAGGGCTTGATGACTTGGGGAGGGCTGCTCCCCTACCAGCCTCGGGGCCTCTGGAGCCTCCCTGCTCCTCCGCCGTGATGCTCAAAATGGTCTCCTAGCAGCTGGGGCAAGACCCCTCCCACCCTGGAGATGAGTCCCTCAGAGCTGCTGGCTGAGCCGTGAACTCGCAGAGCTGACCGCTTTCAAATGGGAACGTAAGCACACACTGCTGCTAATTACAGTAGCTGTCACCTCTCCTCTCCATCTGCACTTTCCAGAGCACCAGTGATCACTGTTTTGCTGGTCTTGCCAAAGACTCCAATAAGACACCTTTAACCCCCATTTTCAGAAGAAAAACTGCGACTCTGGATGGGACAGCAACGCGTGGAGTCATTCACCTCCATAATCCCATAACGCAAAGATGAAGAAGATTTCAGCTGCATTAACAGACAAGTGACCAAACTAGAGATGGTGATAGGTACCCACAGAGTGGGGACAGGGTGTTCCTGTCAGAGCCAGGGCTCTTGCAGCCCAGGGTCACCCTGCTGATCCCAAACAACATTCGGGGCATGCTTCCTGCAGACTCACCTCCCATGATGAGCTCTTGGAGCTGACTCAGTCACTTTGCCAATCCTAAGCTTCCTGCCCCAGGGTCCTGGAAGGTCACCGCTCCTCGCTGCCTGTCAGCTTCCCAAGACTCCTGCCTGAAGAGTGCCTCCTACATGGCTCATTCCCTCCCTGTCCCCCACAGGAGCCTGAAGAAGCCACTTGGAAAATTAGATCTGTTCAGACCCCACAACTCTGGGGAGACACATGAAAGGAAGAGAATGCAAAAGAGGAGAGAGGGAGAGGATGTTTTCAGCACTGTGGACAGCTCCAGAGCACTCTGGGTCTCCCTGGAGGCAGGAAGGACAAGCCTGGCAGAAGCTAACATCACCAAGCAGTCACTAAGTGCCAATCCCTGTGCCAGGCACTATTCATTCAATACATAAGACAGGCACTGTTATCATTCTCATTTTATAGATAAAGAAAGCATGGCTCAGAGAGGCTAGGTAATTTGACCAAGGGGCACAGAGCTTAGTAAGTGGCAAGGCTAACTGCAGACCCAGGCTTCTTCTTATCATACCACATCAAGTCTTGGAGAGCTAGAGAGAAGGCTTTTCTACCTTCCTTTTGGTATGGATGCCCATATGGAGATAGAGACCTTGGTCCAGGGGACTTCCAGACCCCCTCTTCCATCCACTCTTTCCTACCTGGGGGATGTTAATTTTTACTAAGGGAACTGTCTGTACTCAGTGCAAGTATTATTTAACCTGTACAACAGCCTTATCAAGAGGATGGTGTATTTTGTTTCTTTATGTCACTTTATTTATTCAACTAATATTTACCAAGCACCCACTTCTTACTTCTGCCACAGGGTGAGCCAAAACCACTTCCTTTCCTTTCCTCCACCCACCCCTAATTCCCACTGTCTCCCCCAGTCCTCCCCATGTCTCAGGCACCATTCTCCATACTAGAGTCACATGAACACACAAAGCAGTTCTCCCACACACAGAGTTTACTTTCTAGCAAAGACAGAAAGGGACATGAGAGGCAACAAACAAGTAGGTAGATATGTTTTCAATGTTAGAAAGTGATAGGTGTAATTTTAAAAAGTAAACAATGCTACTAATGCCATATGTATTATAAATCAGCAAAAGTGTTTTTTATATTGCTGCACAAACTTTATAATTACAATTTCAATCACCAAGAAACACATTGAACAAGAAACACACTGGTGGCTCTCCCCTGTAATCCTTCTACTTGGAAGGCTGAGACTGGGAGGATCATGGTTTGAGGTCAGTCTGGGCAAATAGTTCACAAGACTCCATCTCAAAAACAACCACAGCAAAATAGACTGGAGGAATGGCTCAAATAGTAGAGTGCCTGCTTTGCAAGCACAATGCCCTGAATTCAAAACCCCAGTCCCACCAAAACAAAAGGAGTGAAATAAAGTCACCTTAAATAAAGTTAAAGAAAAAAACAGAAACACATTGAGTTGATGTGCCATAAATTAGTAAGATTTGGTTGTATATTTTAACTTAGGCCTAATCTTGCTCTGGAAGGATTTCAGAGCCCATGTTGATGTGCCAGACATGTTCTGTTCTCAAATCCGCTCCCCACCTGTACCCACGGGGAACACGAATACAGGAGGCAGGAGTCCACTGCACGTACATAGTAGCAGAAGAAACTGGAAGCTTGAAGAAGTTCAAAGATGTGAGTCACCTTCTGGAGGAAATGGGCCCTGGGCTCTAACCAGAGCTCAGGCCTCCCTCTATACCTCATCACCACCTTGTGATTCTGCTAGAGCTGCCTTCTTCCCTTTCCTCCTCCACCCTTGATACCCATCCTCTCCCTCCTGCTCCCCTCCATGCTCTCAGCAGGACCCACTCTGTATCCAAAACCCTCTGTTGGGAAGGTCAAAGTGGAATCCATTCTCACATTAGGATTGCTGATGAATAACGATTGCCAGGATTGACCCTGAGGGTCAACCACAGGACAATTAGCTCCGACAATAAGCCCATCAACAATTGCTGGAGACAACTGAATGGAAGAAGTGATAAGATACTATTTTAGGGCAGTTAAACCCAAGCTGGCCCAACATCCACAGGCCCCAGAATCCTCTGCCCATAAATTCAATCTCCTAGTGAACTTGGGCAAATCACTTAGCCTCTCTGAACTTTGGTTTCCTTATCTGTAACAGAGATACTACATATCTACCTCCAGAGACAGTGGTGAGTATGAAGCACTTGGTAGATAATGAACACAATGAAATCAACAGTTACTGAGAACTTCCCAGAAGCCAACACAGACCCCATGATTTGAGAGAGTGTTTAATACCTTTGTCTCAGAAATAGGGATGTTCAAAGAAAAGAAAGATGACTGGTCAGGATAGTACTGTGACTGGGGTTAATAGGAGCAGAGCTGTTACCACTCACAGGCCCAAAGACAGGAAGGAGGGAGCATAACTAGAACTTGGAAGGATAAAGTCAGGAGAGAAGGCTGCCATGATGGTAGTGACCTTCAGGTGAAAGATGCAGCCAGCTCCAGAAGTGATGGGAATAAATCCCCTGACCTTCCCCCCACCTCTGAGCTTTAATTTTCCAGGACTCCCCTTAGCCAAACCTATCAGATGCCAACAGACACAGCTGTCTGCTGGTGTCTCCATACAAGCCAGACTTCCAGGTTTGGTGGCAGGCAAAGGGACGATTCTTAGGATAGCACACACTTGGCCTCTGCATTCATTCTTGCTCTTCAACCAATGAAAAACGTTATCCCTGAGTCAGAAGACCTGCAAAGTCCCACCAGCACCACACAGCAAGGCAATGTCAAGTCCTCTTATTACCACTCAAAGTCTGCACCATTAGTCACCACTGATATTCTTTATTTGAAACGGTGGGTACAAAAGAAATAACAGGAACATGGCTGTGACAGTCCTCATCAACATAGCAGACCAACGAGCTAGATTGGTAAGCAAAGCTGCCATCATGTACCATTCACTCTCATAGAACCTCAGGTAGGTGGACTGCTCTCCCTAGGGAGATCCCTCCTTTCCATAGGCTCTGAGGCCTCAGTGGTCTAGGCTTTACTGGGTTGACATTAGCCAGGATTGTGGGATGAGGAGTACTTGCAAGCTCCTCAATAATATACTGGGTTCTTGTCATCCAGTAATATTCTGAGTTATTGTCCCCAGAGTGGGACAATAACCAAATTTCCTCACGAAAATTGGAATCTGTCACTTAGGCTTATGTAGTGACTTCCTTCTCTGCCTATTGATTCAGGGTCCTGAAGACCCCCAAATTGCCAATGTGTAGCTTCATTCCAACTCACTGGAAAAATTACTATGTCCTCTGGAGGATCCAGAGGCTCCAAACTACCAAGTCCAAGAACATGGGCATGGGCAGCAAACACTCTTCCAGGGAGCCATCTTCATTCCTTGGTTCCCAACCTGTGACCCTAACTATGGGAAGATATACTGGGCCACTAGTATAAAGCATATATGGAATGCTGCTAGTTCAGGATTGATCCCCCAGCTCATCCTGTAACTGAGCCTTTGAAAGACTGTTTCTCAGTTCTGTCAGCCAGTTGCTTCTGGGCGATGGGGAATGAGGTGAAACCAGTGAGCCCCCGCCTCTGTTCCTTTGCAGTAAAATGCTTCCTCAGGTTGGAAGCAATATTGGATGCCATAGTAACAGGGCACTCATTCGTGACCATAATGGTGGTCTGGAAAAAGCACTGGGGGCAAGAAAAGCAAATTTATGTGCAGTTCTGTTTCTAGTTCTGTGAGTAGAAAAAAGTGAGCAAGAGATTTGATCTGACCAGCCTGTCTCCAGATAGCTGGCAGACACCCAGGGAAATGGTGCCAGTTTGTGCGCTCAGCAGCATCCTCTGCTGTTGGCAGGCTGGACACTGCCAGCAGGCCCGTGGAAACTCATGTTATGGAGCCCATGTGTAGCCTCCATTCTGGCTGTTGTGGCCAGTTTGGTTCATTGAACAAGCCCTGGGGTGGTGGTGGAAGTGAGTGACTGACTGACAGCCACAGGTCATTTGTCTACCTTGGACACCTACGTGGACACTTACGTGGGAAATGTATATCTTTACACCCGGGACTCTTCTGAGAGGCACCCCCATGCCTCGCTGACACCAGTTTTATCCATACCATGATGTTGGCCCTCCAGAGAGCCCACCGTCAACTTCCTAGAAGTCAGAAGAAAGAAGTATCCAAACCATCTTTCCCGTACAAAGTAAGCAATCAGATGGAGCCCCTGAGTTCTGGCCACTGGGAAACTCCCTTCCCCATGTGTACTGCAAAACCAGCCTTGATTGACATTGTAAATGCCATCCATTTCTAATTGGTGTCAACTACAATGACATGCCTGTATGAACTAGGTCAACAGTTTTCCTCCTCCACCAATTGGTCATAAGGAACTCCCCACAGAATCATGGCCATGGATTGAGAAACAAATGGCAAAAAATAGGAGAAGGTACCACTGAATTATCTGCTTGGTATGCTATTTGCCACTTCCATTTTATTAAGGAATGCTTCTGTGAACTTCTAATCCCATGACCCAGCAGATCAGATTATATCAATCTGATTGGCAGTTCTGGTAGAACTATCACTTGGAGTTTGTGGTGAAATGTTTAGTCTATCAAGACTCAAGTCAGAAGTTGCTTCCCACATGGATAAGATTTGTCCACAGAAAATACTATGGCTTTCCTCCAAAACCCTATGAGTTCCTTTGACAGAACTTGTAAGAATTTCCATATGACATCTCTGTCTACACAGACACCTCAGTCTGTTGGGTCACAAGGGCCTCGTGATAAGGGCAGCTTGCCTGAATCTACTTTGTGGCCCTTTCTTGTTTGGGACTATACTCCAAAATGGCAGCAGCATTGGATTACCTGGTGAATGGGTCAAGAGCCACCCACCTAAATGTGGTATACATTGCTCCCATCCTCTAAATAGGCTCGCCAAAAAGGCTAGCCCCTTCTATGTGATGGGTGGTACAAGGCACCACATTGCGCCCCTTACTTTAGACAGGATATCAGAACATGGCTGTAGACCAAATGGGCCCCAACATGACAGCCTCCTGGACTGTGGCAGGCCATATCTCCCTCTCCCTGATGTGATTCACTATGACATCTATGATTCCAGCTACCTCCTTAACACTAGGTCCAGTTGGCAAAATGACACAGATACAATTGACCAACATTGTGTTCTGTGGGATATCAAGCTGATCCAAGGTCCCTTTGAGCCTTATACAGCAGAGAACTAGAGAAATACACAAAGCTCTAGGGAACAATACAAAAAAATTTTTTGAATGCATACTGCTGTCCTGCATGTCCCTTTCAATTTTCCTTACTGATAGGAAAGGAAAAGAAAATATTTGTTAGACCAACAGCCACAGACCAGGTGTCAGGGGCCATCCAGTAAGCTTTCCTCGGCCTCACATCTGATCATGTCTGTGATCATTGACTGCTCTCCAGGAATCATCTGACTTTTGCACCAGTCAAAAGGCAAGTGAAATGGGGATGCAATCACAGTTGACTATTCCTGGTCCGTGAATGCCTGCACTCACAGGCATTAACAGGGTTAACTCGGCCATGACTGTAATACAGGGTTAACTTGGCCTGTTGCCCATGGTGCTGTTTTGTGTTTCTTAGAACCCTCCACTGTGCTGTACCCACCAGCTAGAGTGCTAGGCTTTATCATAAGGCTCAGATGAAACCACAAGGCCAGCACACTTATGCAAGATAATGGCGCCAACAGCAAGATGAGTTCAGGAGTTCCTGGGTTCAATGACTGCCCATTAGCCTGCAAACCTCAAGGCCAGAATGTTTGCACACAAGAAAGAATCTTGCCCATGATCAGTGGGAAAGTTACCAGATTAGCCCACCTCAACAAGTTAATAAAAAACTTCCCTCTTCTTTTGTTCAGCAAGCAGTCTGATCACCTCTTTAACAAGGGTCAGTGCCAGCTTCCTTCTTCTCGCGAGCTGAAGCTCCAATCAAGAAGCTTTGCCTGTCTCGTTCATAACATTTCGTCTCAACTCATTTCTGTAATTTCCATTCCAAAAGGATCCTTTTGGTAACAGGGATTCTGTGAGTGGTTAACCATATTCCCACAGATCTCTGCAATGCTTCAGTAACTTCTCCATGCCTGTGGCGTATTATGGTAATTGTGCTCACCTATTTGTTTCTGATGGTCAAATGCTGCCATCTGTCTGGGCCTCCATTAATTACCCACAGTGAGATCAGGGGCCTTCATTACAACACCCCTCCCAGTCACCGCCGGCCTACCAGGCTTTCAGCATAACCAAACTCTCCCACCCTGCTATGCATCCTTTCTGCTCTGGTAGAGGGAGTGTCCTTCATCTTCTCCCTAGGGTGAGCAGTTTCCATTGACTGATTGCTACAGCATGTCTGCCTCCCCAAGCCTCCAGATTCTTCTCACTCACCGTCCCAAGAAGGTTCTCGCAGTCATCTTCATTCAGTGAGGTCATCGTTGAATTTAAACTTCAATCAGCTGAACTAACAGATGATTAAAACTACTCCTGAGTGATCAAGTCAAATATTAAAATATTTTATATTAAATTTAAATACATTATTAATAATATAATGATCCGTGTTGTTAATAATTAATCGTCAGTATTAGTAATATAATATAAAATATTTAATGTTAACTCTCAGGCTCTCATCTCAGTGAACTTGACCCAATCAGATCTTGTCATTTTCCTCTGGGAAATCCACTCCGAGAGGCTGTTGCTGATATGGGATTGACCTGGTTGTATTAGTCTTTCACTATATGAGCTGAGCATCAAAACTAGATCCTGTACTGCTCCTATGTACCCTCACGTGACGCTTGTCTTCCTTAATAATCAGGTGACGTATGTTTCCTTTCATCTCTTTGGTTTTGGTGGGGTTTTTGTTTGGTTGGTTCTTTTTGGTGGATCTGGGGTTTGAACTCGCCCTCCCACTTGTTAGGAAGGCGCTGTTACCACTTAAGCCACTCCACCAGCCCTTTTTTGTGATGGGTTTTTTCGCTATAGGGTCTCTTGAACTATTTGCCCAGGGATGGCTTCCAACCGCCATCCTTCTGATCGCTACCTCCTGAGTAGCTAGGATTATAGGCATAAGTCACTGATGTCCAGCTGTTTTCTTTCATTCTGTGAGTTTTTTGATTAGCAAGCAGGTCTCGGGGCAGCTAGCTCCTCCAGCCTGTCCATTGTGTGATATGTTAGGAACTTCACATGGGAAAATTAACCAGTGATAAAAATAGCTCAAGAAAATAATGACCTCTGTCCCCAAGATCTGAAACGCGTCTGGTGACCAGTGATTAAAAGAAATGTGCCATTTAGCCCCAAATCTCCACCTGTGAGAAGGTCCCCACAAGTCTGCTATCACCCATCCCCTATAAAAATTGTCCCTAATTCAGCCCCCCAGGCTTTTTAGGACAAGGTGGCCTCTGTCATCTAATTACTCAGTTCATCAAAATAAAGTTCTTTCTCTGCCACCATCTTGCCTCATGACCCATTGGCTTCTGTCATGAGAGGGCAAACCAAGCATTTTCATGATAACATACACTGTCCACTGGTGGTGTAGACCTTGGGTTTCTCCAGTCTCTGCTAAGATGGAGCCTGGCTGCAGTCTAAAGGCGATGAAGAAAGACAAGGATGCATTCCAAGGAGCACACATCCTGGCTTGTGACCAGCAGTTCCATGCACCGCCTCTGAAAGGCTTTTGTCCAGAAGAGAGGGTGCTCAGACAGGTCAGGAGGAGTGCCTCTTCTGGAAAAGGGGGTTCAAGGGAACTCTCAGATTCAGAATTCTCGGCCCCATCCATGATTTCCCAAATGTCTCCCCTTCTGTGTCACAGGGTCCCATCCTTTCCCAACACCCCTCCTCTGGTGTTGATGACTGCCATGTTACTATCAGATCCTAGGTTGGGCCTCCGTTATACCTTCCCCACCCCTACAGGACACATGTTCTCAAGTATGTGATTGTAATTTTAAATTTATTTTTCCTCTATACAGTCATGCATCGTATAATGGTCAATGACATACTGCATATGTGTGCCATGTCACCTGAGCGTGTACCAGCTGTGCACCAGCTAGGTCTATGTGAGTACACTCATGGCCACACAGCAATAAAATCGCCTAACAACACACTTCCCATTGCAAAGTGACATGTGACTATAAATAGTGCTCTCCTGGGCTGTAAAAAGCCAATTGCCTTCACTATCTTTTATTTGGGGGGAGGGGACTAAGGTTTGAACACAGGGTTTTGCTCTTGTAAAGCAGGCACTCTACCATTTGAACCATAGCTCCAGTCTATTTTGCTCTGGTTTTAGAGATGGGGGTCTCAGGAACTATTTTATGGGGTGGCCTCGAACCACAATCCTCCAGATCTCAGCCTCCCAAGTAGCTAGGATTACAGGCGTGAACCTCTGGTGCCCAGTATTTCACTATCTATATTATTAGTATCATTGTCTCAAAGTCTGGCCTTCCAACCTACACTTCATCCCATGCTATACCAGTAATTTTCTTGCATTCTATCTCCCCTGTGAGTAAATGTAGGACCTATGTTGTATAAATGCAGGACTGACTCAACTCCATAGTCCTGTTTGAAGGGTCTACTTCCTAGGGCCACTCCTGGTACTAGTCAGGGCCCCAACAGAAACTGAGGGCACAAACTGGGGTCATCGAGGAAGACAAAGGCCTGTTATAAAGGGGGGAGGTGGGTACCATGCAGAACATGACAGTACCTAAGGCTAATGGTAGCAGAACCATTACTGTTATGGCTTGAACATGAAATGTTCCCTACAGGCTCACATGTAGAAGGCTTGGCCCCCAGCTGCTGACACTGTTTTGGGAAGTGATGGAAACTTTCGGAGGTGGGGCCTAGCTGGGGGAAGCAGGTCACAGGGAACATGCCTTTGAAAGGTTTTTTTGTTTGGTTGCTTTTGGTTTTGGGGGTACCGGGGCTGAACTCGGGGCCTTGAGCTTGGTAGACAGACACTCTACCACATGAGCCACTCCGCCAGCCCTTTTTTGTTTTGTTGCTTTTGAAATAGGGTCTTGCTTTGTGCCTGGGGCTGGCCTGAACCTAGATCCTCCAATTTTGCTTTCCCAAATAGCTGAGAATGACAGGCACGCACTACCGCACCCAGCCATTGGTTGAGATAAGGTCTTGCAAAGTTTTTTGCCTGGGCCAGCCTCTAACAAACCATGATCCTCTTGATCTCTGCCTCCCAAATAGCTAGGATTACAGATTTGGGCCACTGAGCCTGGCCTTTGAAGGTTTAATCTGGTCCCCAATCCCTTCCTCCCTCTATGAGGCGAGTTGTCTCTGCCACTTGTGTTCACTGCCACGATGCTGTGCCTCACCATGGGCCCATAATCAACGCAACCAAGCACTATGGACTGAAACCTCTGAAACTGGGTGAAAAAATGCTTTGCTCCTTTTCTGTTGTTTCTATCAGACATTGTCATGAGAAAGATAACTAACACATCTCTCCAGGCCCAGAGAGCTGAGGAGAGGGAGTTTTCAGGAGCCTGGAAGAAGAGAACTGCCTGCCTTAAAGGGAGCAGTGACTTTGATGGAGGCACAACTAGATTATGGCATTCCCTGCTGGGGAGATTGCAGGAAACTAGAAACCCAAGGCCATGCCCTCCAACCCTCTAAGCTAGTGCTTCTCACTAGCCAAACCCAGTCAGAAGCCAAGGGCAGGAGACCTCATAGACACTATCCACACTGGTCAGACTCTGGGGGCCTGGAAGGGCGGCTAAGGGTGGAGAGTGGATGCACATGGGCACGGCTCTCACCTGCACAAGGCAAGTGGTAGAGCAGTCTTTAGTCCACTCAGGCTTGGAGGAAGAAGAGGTCTTTCCCAGGAGCACTGGAAATAGGACATTTAAGAAGAAAGGACTGACATAAGCAAATGTAGAGACCAGAGCACAACAAGGTGCCCAATCTCCCAGCACTGATCTGGAGCACACCCTACTCCTGGGGTCCATCCACTTTCCTGGCTTGGCACCTTCCCCATCAGACATGAAAAGGCCTCCAGAGACTTCCATTTCAATGGTCCATAAGGGCTGATAACTCTGGCCAGAGTCTGCTGAACATTCTACTTGCTGTGCACCCAATATCAAAGGCCTAAGACTCTGAGCTCATCAGGGTTCATTTGACCAAAGTGACCCCTTGACCAACTTTTCCTGAGTGCCGAGCCCTGCTTGTCATACATGGGTTCCATGCTTGAGGATTGCAGTCTGGTGTCTGAGATAACAGCTTTGACAGAAGAAAGAACAAGGCATGCATGGAGCTCAGAAGGAGACACCAACTCCTGGAATAGCAGGAAGAAGGCCTCTAAAGGGGTGATGTCTTTTAATGACATCTCAAGTGTCCACAGCAGCTCACAGGAGCATAGGAAAAGGTGTGAGTGAAAGGGACAGCATAGGCAAGTGTCTGGAGGAATGGGAGCAAGGAGAATGGCAGCTTTTCTGAGGCTGGGGACATGGCAGGGAATGAGGTTAGAGGAGTTTGCAGGGATCAAATGAAAAAGGGTCTTAAATACCAGGCTCCAGAGTTTAGATTTTACACTAGAGACAAGGGCCAGGTATCAATAGGGTTTATGTGGAATGGTGTAGCTCAGTCTGCATTTTCCAGATGTTACAATTGTTTCCATTTGGCAGGTGAAAGAAACTGGGACTCAGGGTCAGTTAAGTAAGTAACTTGACAAGGTGACCCAGCTGTGCAAGGAAGGTACCATACACTATCCTTTTGAACTCTTTTGGCAGCACTAGGGTTTGAACTCAGGGCCTCATTCTTGCCAGGCAGGCATTCTTACTACTTGAGCCACTCCACCAGCCCTCTCTTTGAACTCTTATCGAGTATGGGGTCATGCTCTAGTTAGTCAATAATGGGAAACCATGTCACCTTAAAGGCTCTACACAATAATCATCATTTATTTTCTGGTGAATCTGTGATTTGGGCAGGGATAGGCAGAGAAGTTTTATCTCTGTGCCATGTGCATCAGTGAGACAGCTGGCCTGAGGTCAGTGATAGAGTCGGGGATGTATCTGATTCCCCAGAAAGGTAGTCAGGTCATCCACAGGTCCTAGGTCCTGGCAGAGATGAATTAGCAGAGGGCAGCAGTGTTAAGACCAGTGAGTAGCAGCCAGCTGCTCTGATAAGTGTCACCAGGAGGCGGTATCACGCTGTTGGTCCCTCTCCATCTGTGGCTCCCCCAAGGATGTTAAAGATCACTTACCACGAATTCACAGCCAAGCTATACTCTTATCTCAAGGACTGCAAACAATTTTACATTGAGAGTTATATGACGATTTATAGCAAGTTAAACTAAACTTGCTCTTCCACCAACAATTAATTTAATTGGAAAACTATTATTTCATCCTTCTCATGATCTAGTATAATTTTAACAGATTTTAATATACTTGTTGCAGCTCTATATACATTATATATATTAACCACACCTTAACAAGGTA